TATATATATATATATATATTTTTAGCCCTTTTGTTTTTTAACATATAATTTTAACACAGTGATATTAATATATTTTACTTACTTCTGTGTTGTCATTACAAATCTGACTCAGAATGTAATCAGGGTGTTAATTTTAGTAGATGAATATAGAGTTCCTACATATGATATGTATTCATTTGAAGTGCAAGGCCTCTGCTTAACATTAGGATGGAAATTCTCTTCCATATATTTTTTTAAAGAGATGTGTGCAGCAAAAGAATTGCTTTAGAAAAATTGATGTAATGTGTCACATGTGCCAGAAGAGGGTAGAACAGTTCAACTGAGATTTGCATAACTTTTTTTTTTTTTCCAGAATACAACTAGTTCTGGAAGATCATTCTATCTATGCATTGTGTATTTCTTAAAGGGCATTACTTATTTTTTTTCCTTCTACTTCTCTATAATTGCAAAATTTGTATAGATATTGTTAGGTTAATCGGAGATTTTTTTTTTTTTATAGATGTTTCAATATTGTTTGTTGATTGTATTATTGGAAATGACCATCAATACATATTTAAGTCTTTTGTTTTTCTCTTTCAGTTCCTATGTTAGATTTGATATAATTCGAAGAATTCTAACTAAGTTTTTTGGAAACGAAGTCATCATGGTGATGGGGATAACGGACATAGATGACAAAATAATTAAAAGAGCCAATGAGGTAAACACTTTTATACATAATTTGATACCAGGTTCTAGCATTTCATATACAGTGAAATCTGGTTAATTAGTCTCTGGGATAACTTATCATTATGATCTTATTTATTGGTGTGCTGAATCCCTGCCAGTGTCCTATTGATTTGTACACAAAACACTTTGGGTAATTTGTCATCTCTCAAAGCATAATCAGTTATTTCCAAATGTACACTTGTACTAAATCTCAATGGAATTTGTTCCTGATAAATAGTTGGCTTAAGATGTCCTCAATGGCAGCTTTCATGCCACCTGATGCTGGCAAAGCATTGAATGCTCTTTAGCTTTCCTTGGCTCAACAAAACATAGAAAGATCCACCACTTTATTTTGCAGGATTATCTTGTTTTGGTGATAAACGCATATAGGAGTGCAAAGCAGAGATCTTTGACTGCTTGTGACAGAGTAAAATGATCATGTAATTCTTGCATAAAAATGCACCCTGCCACCTGTTTCCCCCATCACTAGGCCCACCCTACTGCCAGCACCCCTTCCCTCCCCCGCACCTGTGCACCACCTGTTCCTTCTGCATTCCCCTACTGCTACTTACCCTATGTGGCAGCTTTGGTTCTAGCTCTGGCTTGGGGCAGAGGACATGATGACTCTGGCCCTGGCCTCTATTAGGAAGTAGGAACAGCTCTAGCTTCAGCCCCAAGCCACACTTCTGGCCAATCCCTGAATGTAAGAAAAAAACTCATGTTCAGGAATCCTGATTTTTCTCTCTTTAAAATCATAAATTTTCTGACTTAAAAAAAATTGCAAATTCTCTAATTAAAAACCCCTCACTTGTGACCCTCAGCCCTGCCAGAGGATACTCCCAGCTGCCAGGGCTATGGGGCCAGGGATCCAGGTCCGCAACTCCCTGCCCCACCCAGCAGCACCTGTGCTGCTGTGTGTGGGAGGTGGTGGTTCCTGTGGCAGAGCAGAGTGCAGAGCCTGGCTCCTCCTCCCTTATCGGTGGCACAGCCAGAGTGGAGCCTGTGGCAGCGGGTGGATGCAGGCTATGCTCGGGCTCCCAGCCCTCTTGCTGTCTCCCCAGGGCCTCCAGAGCCCAGTGGGCAGGGTGGGGAAGCTTGACACTTCCACCAGGAGCCAAGTGCTGCCAGGAGGTGATCCTGCCTGCCTGGCAGCAGTGGGGATGGTGGCATGGGGTTGTGCGTCCCGCTGCTGCCAGGTGGGCAGGAGTTGCTTTGCCATAGTGGTGCAGGGTTTGTGGCGGTGGCAGCATCAAGCTTTTCCGCCCATTTCTGTCCTGCTCCACTGGGTCCTGCTCACTGGGTTGTGGAAGCCCTGGGTGGGGAGGGCAACAGGGTGGGGAGCCAGAGTTGATAGTGGGCAGCCCGTCCCCATTTTGTGCACAAATCGGGGGGGACATGCCCCCCCATACACCTTCTCCTCCCAGGAGTCCATGCAGTGGTGGGGAGCCAGCCCCCCCCATGAGCCATCTGTGACTCCATCCCACTCCCTCCCTTTTTCCTTTCCTGAGGGGGCCTCAATCTCCCCCTGCCAGATTTACCAGTGGGAGCTGCTTTCCAGGCTACATGGCACCCCCTGCCTGACTGTCCTCTTCCTACTCCCCCCAGCCCCTTGCAGACTGGAACTTTGCCAGCCTGAAAGGGTAAACCCACCATTTCCTGTGTTTTTTTTCTCTTTTTTTTAAATGAGAAAATCCAGGTTTTAGTGCCTTTTTTCAGTGGCGAATGGAAAACCCAGATCCCTGTTCATGTTGAATGGGGGAAAAAAACTCATCTTGGATTTGAGTAAGTACAATAGTTGCCCTTGAAATTAGTTGTTATACAGACACTAAAATTCATGACACGCAGCTTCCATCCAGTTGGCTGTAAGTGCTTAGCACCTCTCTGGTGTCTGCCCATATGAATCTTGTTATAGGAATCGGTCTTTAATTGTTACCCAGGCCTTGAACTCAAATGGTACAACTCCAAAGGCTTCATTTTAAATGTGTTTAAAAATCTTTGCAGGGCGGGGTCCCTAGGAAAAATGACTGGTAACTGCCAGCTCTTGCACAGATTTCTTAGGATGACAGTCTAAATTTAAAAGCTTTATGACAGTAAATTTCTATCAACAGGATGATAATGCAGTCAGTTTTACCAGCTGAGCTTAAAGAGTTATTATTCTGCCTCTTATTGTATTTGATAAAATCTTTATCAGATCACAGCTATATTGTGTAGGCTAATTATTTTTAAACTTTTAATGTGTAGTTTTGAAAACCTGGTAACTCTCTTGCCTGCTGGAACAGTAGTAAACATGTCATGAGACTTGGGGCCTAAGCTCCATGGGGTTTTGTTTGTTTGTTTTTGTTTGTTTGTTTTAAGGTTACATTGGGTGTGTCTACACAAGACATTTACTGCGGAGTACACTATTTAGCTGTGCAGTAAATGTCTCATGTCTACACATGTGGCCCTGCTGTGCAGGGTAAATACACGTACTACCCTGCTGCATTGTTTTTTCATGTGTAGTAACGCACATGTAGATGCTGACCTGATTGGCTGGGGCACAATTGTGCCTCAGTGTGGGGGCTTCCTGTTGGCTAGCCCAGCACTGGAGCACCCTTGTGCCCCAACCAGTCCCCTTACAGCATGTTGAGCCAGGTGAAAGCAGTTCTGGGCTGACATGCTGACCCCCCAGGCCCATTGTTAGTCAAGGCTGATCCAACCTGGCTCAGCATGCTATGGTCCCCGCTCCGTGTTCAGGTGGTGTGCCTGGGATCAATAAACTCCAGTTCAGTAAGTGCTGGGGTTTATTGCTGAATGCTAATAGCGTGTATAGACGCACACTGTTAAATGTAGAGTTCTTAGGTTAGCTCTATAATGCTTTTCATGGAACAGATTTTAGCTATTCTTCATCTTCCCCTTAAGTGTATTTTTATGGCAACAGACCAGCGCCTTAAAATATAAAATGTGTCTTGAGAATTCCATTTTCATAGGAGCATCATATTGAATATTTTAGTTTTGGAAGAAGTTGATGTTGCCATTTAAAGAATTCTGGATCACTTTCTACACTGTTCTGTCACTATTAACATTTTAACCATTGGTGCTTTTAGCAATAATTTTCTAAAGGATGCTTTTGTTTTGTTTTTACCAAGCCCTACATTTTGTATTTATTAGTACTACAGTCCATGGGCAGTAGTCTTTACCCTTTGTTTTGAGCCCTTCAGCCAATTGTTAATCAGTGGGGGTAAGGGTCATATCCAAAGCAAGTAAAATTAATTTTGAAGTCCAACTTCTTTTGGTTTTGTATCAGAAGTATTTCTCCAATTATTTTGTAACCCAGTTGACAAAGTAGTTAGTTTTTATGTCAAAAGATTTTTATCCTTGTATATTAATGCTCTTAAGTTTTTCAGCTCCCTTGTCTATTTCTCATACCTAAACTTTTATTCCTTTTAGAACATAGGACTGGAAGGTCTTCCTGGGTCACAGAGTCTAGTCCTCTGTGTTTGCAGATAGTTGCCAACTGAAGGAATCCCCCAAATCAACACTTCAAACCTTCACCTACAATCAGACAAATACCTGAACAATACATTCCCTATTATATGTCATTGGTGAAAGCAGGGGAGACAAGGGCCCTATCAATCCCCTACTACTGCAGCAACGGGGAAGTAGTTCATTAGTGTATATACTCAGAAGATCCTAGGGTAAATACAGGGAAGGTAAAACCCCACAATAGTCTGTGCCAAGCTGAGTTAAGGGAAAATTTGCATCATGACCTGAGTTTTTGTGATTGGCATGACCTAAGTGGAAAAGTAAGACCCTTTAGCTAAGAACCTCTGGGTTGTCTAAATAATGGCATAAGCATGAGCACATCCCAGTCTAAGACCCCCCAGCTTTAGCTGTGGCCCACCTCCTTAGAGAAAAGGCAGTAGCTTCTGAAAGGTGACATATCTTAACCAGTCTTGACTAGGAATTGTCAAAAGTCCTGAGGTGTGGAATTATGAGGGGCCTCCCACATGTTCAGGAGCTACCTTTTTACCCCTAGTTGGGCCTGGCAGACCCATGGCCCTGCATCACAGAAAGAGTGGTGTACCAGAACTCCCTTCCAATCCAGTTCCATCTTAAAGAGATTTAAGTTTCTTTGCTTGGAAGACTATTCCAAGACTAGACTCATGATAGTTAGCAGTCTTTTTTAATTTCCAGTCTGATTTTTATCCATAGCCAGTTTGTAGCCTTTTGATTTTGTGCCAGTGCTGTTTTTCAGCCCCTAAAGCTCTTCCTCATCTCTGCTTACCCCACAAATGTATGTGTAAAAAGTGATTAAATCCTCTCTCCAGTTTCCCATTTTGCTAAACTAAACAAGCCAAGCTTAAGCTATTTTAGTGACTCTCCTTTGAACTGTTCCATTGCAGGTTAATCTTTTTTTTTTTTTTTTTTTTTTTAACTTTGGTGACTAGAGCTGCACAGAGTATCCTAACTAGGGTCTTATCATTGACTTCTGCAATGGTATTAGTACCACCTAGTCTCTATTGCATATACCACACCTAATACACTCTTGCATGAGCTTTTTTTTTTTTTTTTCCTCAGCAGTCTTGCACTGGCAGCTCATGATCATCCTGCGATCAATCAATATGCACAGGTCTAAATTTCACCATAGCTCCCTCTCAGTGTTGCCATGCACCGAGTGCAGCCCCGGCTCAACCCCCATCTTCCCCCATGTGCTGGGAAGAGCCAGGGCGGTGGCAGCAGGGGGGCCCCCCCCCCCCCCCCCCCGACGAGCTGTGCCTGTGTCCTGCATGGAGGGAGGTGGGTGTTGAGCCGGGACTGCGCTGGGCATATGGCGGTGGTGGTGCTGGGAGGGAGCCACAGTGAAATTTTGGGGTGGCTGCAGCCCCCTCAGAAGACCCAGCCCCCAGTGAGAAGGGCCCAGCTCTGACCAGTAGTGGCAGCCCATCTGCTTGCCCTGCGCAGATCTGGGGGCACCCCACCCCCAAGCCGCAGCCCCATCCCGTGCCCCATCTGCCTCTGCTCCCTCCTTCCCTCACTGCAGGGGGGAGCGATCTGTCCCCTACCCCCATGTTCCTTCTTCCCCTTCCACCACAATAGACTTGACTTACCAGCTGGAGACAGCTCTCCACGCTGCTGGGCTCTGCTCCTCGCTGCCTGAGTGCTTTGCTTCAGCTGCGTGCATGCACTAGCATTTATCAGCCAAACTATTGGCCCCATCGGGACTATTTCCAATACAGCCAATTTTCTTTATATCAGTACTGATCCGATATCGGGCCGATGTGTTGGTGCACCTCTACCTGAAACTCCTCAGTGCATAAATCCTCTGGTTTGAGTGGTTTGGTATCCGTGTCTTAGCTTTGTCAAGTTCCATCATTTTGATCAGAACTTGAAGGTATACAAGAAACCTGAAATCCTACAAAATGTGATGATGTAGCTCCTACATGTACTGTGGAAGGTTTTGTTTTGGTGAATGTTTCAAACCCTGGCTTATACTGGGTATTGGAAACTGCCTCTTTACTTCTGCTTTCCACTGATTTGTTCAGTTGTGAAGATCATTTCTGTCTAGCTGTCGACTAAAGTTTAAGTTTGAAGTGAACAGATTTTGTTATGGCTACCCTGTTTGCCAGAACATGCAACTGTCTCTGTTCATTTTTCCCAATTATATTAAAAATATGAGTAACAATGACCAGTTGAAGTATCTCATTTTTCTTTTATCATAAAATTAATATCCTGTCTGATTTATGTCTGGGAGCCTGTGTTCTATGTCTCTGACAAATGATATATGTCAGTGTCCCCTCTCAGTAAGGGGTCAGAGTGAACTCCTGAGCCATATACATTTGTTAACATTAGCCCTGGAAGTGAAGCCCTTTACTGAATAAAAATAAAGATTTATGAAGTTAACTTTAGTCACTTTCTGCATATAAAAATAAGGATTAAAATATTATTTCTGTAATTCAAACGGAAAAATTAAACATTATCACTTTTATGTTATAAATATCTTTTTAAAGCTTCCCAACTGAGTGTTAGATTAATATGCCTTTCTGACTTTTTACCTTGGGGATTCTGAGCCTTCCAATTAACCATTAACTAACTGATAAAAGATTGCAATATTTTATAGTAATCCTTTGATTTATGACTTACTAATTTGCCTCTTCTTCAGATGAATATATCACCGCCAGCTCTTGCTCGTATTTACGAAGAAGACTTTAAACAAGATATGGCTGCATTAAAGGTGTAAATATTTGATATTTGAGCTTTTAAACTTGAAAGAATGATAAAGTTTGTTTATTTGATAAAGGGGCACCGACAATCTGCTTTTCCCCCCCCTAAATTGGCTAATTTAAAAAATGTTCAATTTATGATAAAGTACGGTTTGTTTGTTTGTTTGTTTGTTTGTTTGTTTGTTTGTTTTTAACATTTTCTTTGAAAAAATATTTAAGGTTACATCTGACCCCCTTATGTTCCTTTTGGTAAAGAAGAAACTGACTGTTCAGGTGAAGGGATGAACTATTGTTAAGTTCTTAGTGCAGCGCAGGGGTGGGCAAAGTCCAGCCCATGAGCCAAATCCAGCTGGCAGGGGACTCCATTTCTCAGCAGTCCCTGCCTGCATGGCCGGGGCTGGTTTCAATGGGGACCTCAGGAGCAGCTGCCCGGTGATAGTGCAAGGCTGGGGTTTCCATGGAGACTGACCCCAGCAGTGCTGGCTGGGTGGGGAGCTGCTCCAGAGCTGTTGGGATTTTGCAGTGGTGACAACATGGTCTGGAGCCAGGACAGAGGCATGCAGGCTGCAGGTTGCAGCTTTGTCCCGGATCCTTACAGCGGTGACAGCGTGGTCTGGAGCCAGGACAGAGCTGCAACCCACTGCCTGAATGCCTGGAGTATGCAGGCTGCAGATCGCGGCTCTGCCCTGGTTCTGGACCATGCTGTCACCGCTGCAAGTTCCCAGCTGCTCCGGAGCAGCTCCCCATCCTGCCATGAGCCTTGCCAGCTCTGCTGGGGCTGGTTTCCATGGAAACTGCAGCCTTGCGCTATGGCAGTGCAGCTGCTGCTGGGGTCTCCATGGAAACCAGCCCCAGACATGGACAGGGGTTGCTGGGAAATAGAATCTGCCTGCCAGCCAGGTCTGCCATTTTGCCCCCCCTGTCTTAGCCTGTGTTTGCACAGGGTCTAGCACAATGGGGTCCAACTTTGATTCTGGCAAAAGTGTAACATGATTAATAATGCATAAACAGAGCCTGATTTAAAGCTTGGTGGAGAGATCTGTCTTTCAAGTGCCTTTAAAATACTCTGCATCTGGCTTGCATGTTTTTAAATGCACAAGGCAAATCAATTGAGGAAGAATGGAGGAAAAATATCTGGCTTTATTTTTTTGATAGCTTTTTTGTAATTGTCAGTTTAGATGCCAACTGGGACTATAATAGTGGCAACATTTTGAGGAAAATGTCGTTTGAATTGACAGTGTTCCTACAAAAAGTGCTTCTATTGTATTAAATGGAAGTAACGTGTCAGTAGAATATGGGATGCATAGGCTAATGAGTTGTTACTGCTTCTTTACTCAAGGTTCTTCCACCTACAATATATATGAGAGTGACTGAAAACATTCCTCAGATAATTTATTTTATAGAACAAATAATTGCTAATGGACATGCCTATGCAACCTCCAAAGGTAAGGTTTGTAGCAGTACAGTTCAGTATTGATAAGGAGTATTAATTATGCTTGTATCTAGTTATAATATACCTTTCCATTTCAGTTAAGGTACTGGATATTGGTATAAATAGCTTTAATACAGCTCCTACACATCTTAACATTGTGTATTTTTAAATTTTAATGGAAGTAGGTTTTTAACATTACAGGCTGTCAGACTTGGGATACAATTGGTTCCTGAAAACGGCGTCTTAAGTCGAAACGTTGTAACTCGGAACCGACTTTCCCATAGGAAACAATGTTATAAATGGGGGATTGGTTCCTGAACCAAGGCCCGATACCCTGTTTTCACCAAAAATAACCCAGAATTTTGTACTCATTCATTTATAGATGAGTAATATAGCTACATTAATGTATTTATATTGTACATAGCAAGCTTATTGATTTGGAAGGACTTCTTTGAGGTGACTTTGCTGGACTTTTTGAAGGGCTCTTGGCTGGAGTCTTCTCAGGAGTCTTGGCTGCAGGTTTTTCTGGAGTCTTGTCTGCTTTCTTAAAGAGAGTGTCCAAGGAAGTTTGGGCAGATGTTCTCCAGGGAGATGGGTGACATAGTGACTTGTTCGCTGTCATGGCGTCGCATCAGATCAAGCGTTGCAAAGTCTAAATTGACCTCAAAGTTGAAACAGAGTGTCAATTTAGAAACGTCGTAAGTGCGAAACGTCGTAACTTGAAACTTTGTAAGTCAAGGACTGCCTGTATTGTCTAATGCCAGACTCCGTTATATGGTTTCTTTGCAGAAGTCCTAGTTTAGGAAACAGTGGAACTGGTTTGCTTCTGTTGTACTAGAGATGTGTGCAAATCAGGGACCTGGGAGCCTTTGTGGGGAGGTGAGAAGCCTCTATATGCTGCAGAGCAGATGTTTCCAAAACATGGTGTTTTGTGGATTTTTAGAGACCAGGTTTGTGGTTATGGAAAGAACTTGGCTGCACCTTAACTAGACTTGTCAGGCTCCAGTTGAGTCCTGGAGAGTACTGTTGATAACTTGAAAGCAGGAGAGATTTTTGGCATGACTTTCAGTTTCCAGGGCACATTTACAGGAGTGTCAGTAAAAATATATATATAAAATCTTGTGTGCAGGCTGAGCAAATTTAATCTTTAGATGCTAAGAGACTATAAATGTGGAAACGCATACTGCCATGTTTGCAGTCACTTTCCAAAACAGAATTGTGTTTTCAGGAAATGATACACAGCAGATGGTTTTCTTAGAGTAAGTGTTTAAGTTTCTTTGCCACATCAGCAATGTGATTGCCATCTCTTTTGTAATAAAGCTCAGTATTTGTTTTTTAACAGGCAATGTTTATTTTGATGTCAGATCTTGGGGAAACAAGTATGGAAAGCTGACTAGTACTTATCCTAATGCACAAGAAGAAACAGGTATGCTGACATTCTTGACTGGTTTTATAGTAGTACTTCTTGTATCATCAACATTTCAGGAAACATTTGACTTATCCTTTGCATGAAGTTCTAATAGTAACATCTGAAATGATAGGTACTGTGCTGTTATTACTATTTAATAACCATGGAGAATCTTTGCTGTTTTTTTCTTACTGTGTGTTTAAGTATTCCACCTTTTCCCCAATTTTACTCTATTTACGTATAGTTCTCTTACTGGAAAATTGGGACGTTATTCTGTGACTAATTGATAACTTGTTCTTGGGTTCAGTGAGTGATAAATTGTCAGCTCTACTGATTATTTCTTGCAAAGATAGCTTTGCAAAGACAGCCTGGATTATTTCTTGCAAAGAAATCTAAAGCAGGGCTAGCAGTGTGTTTGTTTTCTGTCTTTTTAAAGAGAGGTTAGATTAGCCAAGACGCTGCTAGATTTTCCCCAAATGACTGGGGACACTATATTCCAGAGATTGATTCTGGCTGCTGTGGCATTCTATGGTGGATATTTCTCAAATGAGCTATTCAAACCAATTGTGTGCGTGTCCTTTTTTGGCCTACTCTAGGAACGAGTTGCCCTGTGAGAAATCCCTTGTTTTGGACAAGGCAAAGCAATCTTGATTATCTTTAGTGATGTGGAGTTTGGATATATCATCTATCTAGTACTGTAGTGCAGGATCTTTTCCAAACAACTGTCTTAAAAAAAGACTTGCCTATAGAAAGAATTACGGTAGCTCTAGGTTCTTCTTTAGTTCTCTACCATAAAACCAATCTGTGTATTAGTTTCCAGGTGCTCTGGTAGGTTTTGTTTGGGACAGTTTTGGCTTCCTTGCTAAGTACAGCTTATAGAAAATGTCTGGCTGCATCTATCCTTGCTTGCAGCTCCTGACTTTTTCCCTCCCCTTGAAGTTAATATCCTCCCTTCCTTCACAATGACCATGGGCCTGTCTGCCTGTGATGGGACCAGATTTAATTGGTCTTTGGTGGTTTCTTATATGTTGAGCTTGTTAAATGTGCAGCAGACCCTAGGACGTAAGTGAGTGCCATTTTAAAGGCAGCGTATAGTCTACAGCAAGGTGGACCCGACTCATTCCTCACATGGAAGCATTTGGCATAAGTTTTCAGTGTGGGTAATACTGTTTAAAATTTACCATTCCTTACTTTAAAAAAAAAAAAAAATCTCGTTGGAGTTGCTGAACAAGTGCAAGAGAGCAAGGTACTGGGCAGCTGTGAGGACCTCTTGATTACAGTTCAGGGACAAAAGCTGTTGCAGCAGTCATACAACATCAGAAGTAACGAGGAAGTACATTTGTCATGCTGCTTCAGACATAAAATATTATCAACATGGCCTGCTATGCTGCAGTCATTTGCTTGACTGACTATAGACATACAGTGGTAAACAAGCAGTTAAATATTGGTACTTACAAGTTCTAACTTCAGCAAAAAACAATTTATTGTTTTATCAGGGTGAGGCCTCTTATACCAGGGCCTGCTTTTGACTTGCATTAAGCTCTGTTGGCTCGTGTTAACTTTTAGGGGGACCTGCATTTAGTACTCCAGTCTTGTGGAGTTACTGCTGGAACTTCTTTTGAAACTCCTTTTATAGTGGCTGTTACTGGCAGTAGAAATGTGAAAGCATCAGACATCCAGATAGGGCTTGTGATCTTTACAACTTACTTTGCTTTTAATTTGGGGGATCAAAATGAGTTGTTCTTTTCTTTCTATGCAAGTGTCCTCAGTGTTCTCATATCTGAATGAGATGGCACGCCATCAGTAGAACAAAGTACAGTAGTATATGGAGGTATAGCAGTATCAAAAATAGAATTAGCCAGAGGAACAGGTGCTATGTAGGCAACACTTTCTCACTGCTCTTTGATATAAATCAGCTCTTAAAAGTGAGCTTTGGAGGTTTCCTCTCAGTTACTGTGTATATAAAAATCATGATCAGCCTTAAGATTTGCTTTTTGATTGTGACAAACACTTATCTATTAGTATGGTCAGGTTTTAAAATCTATGATCAATGAGGGTTTGATCCTGTTTCCATTTAAGTCAAAAGGAAAAAAAACAAACTCCCGTTAACGTCAGTGATGCAGGAGGAATTTCTTGTTACTGTTTAATCCAGGATCCAGAAGGAAGGGCCAGTATTCAAAAAGGGTAAGTGAGGAATGAATAACTAGAGGCTGGTCAACCTGACCTCAATCCCAGGTAGAATAACAGGAAGGACGATATGGGGGGATTCATTTGATAAAAGATGCCAGTCAACATGGCTTTATGGAAAATAGGTCTGTTAAACAAACCTGACTTATTTTTTGATGAGGTTACAAGTTTGGCTGTTTTTGTTGTTGGTTTGTTTGTGTGGGTTTTTTTTGGTTTTTTTTTTTTTAAAGGTGTAATATACTATAGGCTTTTGTAAGATATTTGATGTCATAGCAATTCAAGTAAACAATTAATGCTACATGGGCTCAAGAAAGGACATGAGAACTGGCTAACTAAAATAGTTGTTAATGGAGAACTGTATTATTAGTGGAGTTCTGCAGGGATTGGTTCAGGCCCGATGCAGTCCTTCATCATAGTTGTTGCAGTTACTACTGTTATTTAGATTTATGTCTTGCCTTTATCCAGAAAGGCTCAATTTAGAAGCAAATATAAAATCATTTGCAGATAACACAAGGCCAATTTTTGTATCGTGGAACTTGGCAGATGGGGCATTCTTGTAGCATAACCTAGATCCCTTGGTAAGCTGGACCCCTTCATACAAAATGTGTATTTAATACAGCCAAATGTAAGGTTGTATATCAAGGAACAAAGAATACAGACAATCCCTACAGAATGGGGACTGCATTGTGCTAAGAAATGCCTCAGGAAGGCGTATAAGGCCATAATGGAGCAACAACTGAACATGAACTCTCAGTACAACATGGTGGCAAAGTGGCTAATAAGCAGGGATCCTGGCTTTCTCTTACATTTTTTCCATGGTTTAAATGAAACACAGAGGGAGAGATTTGGGGTTACTTTATTTAACTGAAAATTGGGGATTTTTTTTAAATCGGAGAAAACCAGAATCCCTGCTAATAAGATAACTGCATAAATGGGTGAATACCATGTAGGAGCAGAGATGAGATGTGATTTTTTTTTTTTTTTCTCATCTTTCATGCAGCATAAGCGAAAGTGATATTAGATTACTTTGTTCAGTTCCAGTGCCTGTTTTCCACCATCTAGCGGATGATGGAAAAACTGGTGATATTTCAGAGAAGAGCCACAGATGAACTTGGTCTGGGCAAAAAGCTTTGCAGTGAAAAGGAAGGAGTGTAGTTTTGCTTCATTAAAAAGGAAGGTTGGGAGGTGGCTTGCTTAGCAGTGTATAATACTTGCACGGAGTAAAGGTACTAGAAGACTGTAGTCTAGCATTGAATGGATTTATAAGCACTAATGGCTGGAAGTTAAAGCCAGGTTAAGTTGAAATTAGGTGAAGGAGCACGCCACAAAGGGAAGCAGTGGATATTCCATCTCCTAAGGTCTTCAGAACAAGAATGCCTGTATGCCTTTCTGGATGAAATCCTTTTGCCAGTCGCAAGGTACTGAGCTTATTTTAGGGAAAGCTGAATGAAGACAGACCAGCTGATTGAACACTACTTTTGTCCCTGCGGTCTATCAAGGGTCCATCTTTTAATGCAAGGTGGAACGTTCAGGGTGCTAGTTTTGTGGGATGTTTTCTGACACATCAGCTCTGCTGTGTAGGGGAAAATATAGGAAAGAAGAAAGTGTGTGTATGCACGTTAAGTATTCAGATTTATGCTGATATTCCTTAGTATAGTTCTGTAGACATGTATACCTAATTGCTTTATTCAGTTACATTTATCTAGTTACTTTTTTCCAAGCCTTGCTCCATTAACAGATCATTTATCATTGGCAGCTGATACTGATAAGCAACATGTCCAAGATTTTGCCCTGTGGAAGGCAGCCAAACCTCAAGAAATTTTTTGGGCTTCTCCCTGGGGAAAAGGAAGACCCGGCTGGCATATTGAATGCTCAACCATATCAAGGTCAGATTTTTTTTTATTTTTAATCTAGCACTTTTGTTTTGTTGTCAATGGTAAAATAGCCAAGCCACAACAAAAATATTTCACTTGGACAGAGGAAAGTATCAGCCTAAATCAGTGGCACCTAACCTTCTGGCTCTGTGAGTGGGATGAGCGGTGCAGGGTCAGTCTTTAGGCTGGATCCCATGTCAGGTTGGTCTATGGGTGTGATCCAGCACACTGGTCCAACCTCCTGTGCCTGGATCTGGCCACACAGCGGTGAGCCCGCACACTGAGATCCTGCTGCATGCTGGACTGACCCTGCTTGTCCAGATCCAGCTGCATGCTGGACCAGCCTTTTGAGTCTGGATCTGGGCATGTACTGGCGCAGTCTGGCAGACAAGTCCACATTATCTGGTCTGTGGGGCTCCACATGGGTCTAGAAATTAGGCAGCAGGGGAGCAGCAATTAACGTTGTCTGTTTCAAACCATTGGAGAGCCCCACGGGCCAGTTGACATGACTTTGTAAGCTGCATCTGGCCCAGAGGCCAGGGGTTGAGCACCCCTGGCCTAAATGAATATTTTGTGTGCTATGTAATGTCATGTACAGTACAAATAAGGTGTGAATGTAATGATAACCTTGTTGTCTTCCTACAACTATTCTTCCAGAGTGGATTGGCCTATCATTCATCCCCTATCTTAGAGGACCAGCAGGCTACTTTTGACCTGGTCCTTCTCCTTTTACTTGTTCAGCTTTGGTTACTCTGTTAGCAGCTAGAGCTCCCAGTGTCACAGACCTGAAAGCACACAGATGTTTCCACCCTGTCAAGATGCAATCCTTATGGATGATCAGTGTAACCAGTGTTTTATACTACGTATTGGCAGTAAGGAAGAAGCTTGGGTGATAAAATTATTTTGAAAATAGGAATTGCAGCAACATTACTTTAAAGGGACTGTCAGTCATTCTCTGTGGTTTGAATCCTAATTTCAGATTTTATAGGACTCTCATGCCGGTTCACGTCAGTGACTCCTCCCACAAATCAAGGAAAGCAGCTTTGTGATTGACCAAGACTGGAAATCTAGTTCCAGCTCTGACACACAGGCTTCGTGTTTGGGCTTGAAGTTATTTGGGACCAGATCAGTTTTCTGTTAAAGGCATTGGTAATGCTACCATTTAGTTTTAATGTACCCTTAACCGCTGATTCAGTAAGGCATTTAAGCTTAATTTTAAATTTGGTTACAAAATAAAGGCCATCGTTTCTGAGCCTTAGTTTTCTCATCTGCAAAATGGAGGTGACGTACCTAATTTCACAGGAATTTTGTGAAACTTAGTTAATACTTTTTAATAGCTTTTGAAATTCTTTTATAGAAAGTGATACATGTGTACATAAATAAAATGGAGTGGGACTTAGGCACTTAAAATTGTAGGATCATACCACTGATTAGGGAAAATCCTTTAGTCCAGTGATTCTCAACTAGGGTTGCATAATATCCTTTCAGGGGTGCTGTAGCACCAGCACCACCATCACAGCCGGGTAAGATTGACATGTGTACCTCTGTTTGCTGGAGGCATACATGGGGCTGGACCAGGATGCAAGTGTGTTAGGAGGTAGCACTTCTGCCTGCATGAAGCTTATTATTGCCTGATTTAGAGGAGGCTTTCAGCTCTCCCTAACCCACTTAAACCACTGTGCCCCTATCCAAGCATGCAGAGCTGTACTTCAGAGGACAGGAAGTGGGATTACTTCCCATGCTTGGCAAGATGTATGAGATTTGGGTGTCCAATCTTAATGGCGTTTGTGGTTAAGCATGCTACTGATTATAAATTATTCAGTGCCCTTTAAAATTCATGCATGGTGTTTGACATGCTGACATTCCTATGGCAGTAAATTTCATAGGTACCCTCTCTATGCTGAAGTGGTACCTTGTTCTTAATTGTTTTAAATGAATTTGCCTTACAGTTTGAGTAATTTGTTCTCCATAGAATCCTAGCATTTTGTGCTGTCCAAGGGCTTTGATTAAACAATTCCCACTCCCATCCAGAAAAAGAGACTCAAACTCATCTCTTCTGAAGACACTGAAAAATAAGCAATTCCCAGTTTCTGCATCAGTCTGAGGTAGATTTCTTCTCCCCCACACACACTTTGGAAGTTGTTACCAAATTAGCTAGGTCTGACCCCATTTAACTTAAAATTTCAGCCCAAGCTGCGATGACGGAAGATGTAATTGTTGTGTTAGAATTTTCTCTTGCACGCTGTGCAGGTGTACCTGTGGTTGTTAGTTATTAGTATCTGAATGTGAAAAACATTTTCTAAAGATGATTTAAGAACAGGAAACAACTCTAGTGCTGTAAAAGAGTTGTTCAAACCTACTGAAGTACACAGAGCCACACAGTTTAAAGTGCAACCTGTGTAAATTAGACTGAAAAAATGTACTCTAGAGAAGAAAGTCCAGGGCACTTCAGAATGACCCATCTGCCAGTACAATGCTATTTACCTTCTCCATTGCTGTAAATGCTCCTTTCACTTTGGCTAAATGAAGCCCCTGCAGGGTAAATAGCAACTGACCCACTCAGAGGCAGCACAGGCATAGTAATCTTGGGCCATGAGAAATGGAGAACTCAGTTTTGTAAGTCACCTAAAACATTTTACCTTTTCAGGTGGCTGCTAGGCATCAGTTTTTAGTAGTAGTAACGACAACTCGCCCTTCCAACTTCCCTTTTTTGCCAAAGAGCTCAAAGTGCTTAGCATTGTTTAATGAGCCTTCTAATAGCTTTGTAAGCTGAGGGGCGTCAGCAAGAACGTGGACCTCCAACAGAGTCAGAATATTAAGTCCAAGAGGGATTCCATTTCTGTCTCCTCTTTCACCTCATTTCCTGCTGCTGGCTAGCCCACTCTGCCTCCCTCGGTGGCTTGCGGGCCTTGGCAGCCTTTCCTTGATAGTCTTCCTCTCCTTTTTTCTTGGCTCTCCCCCCATTCTGCTGGTGAATCCTTAAGTTGATAACCCTGCTTCCTGCATGGTGAGGTGTTGTGGGGTAGGTTGCCAACTCTGTATACATCTGTGGCTCCCGTAACCAGCTATGCTAGATGCTGTTTTAGGAGTGGGCAGTCAGAAGTAGATGTGCAAAAGCATTTGAAGGAGCCATCAAATAGTCACGGGTTTCTCTGTCCATTGCTATTTCTGGTCCCTTCACTTTCTTTCTCAGTCTAGGCAGAGGCACTTAGAGCTACAGTTTTACTCCTTTCAGGTGCACAAAAGTGTTCCCAGCCATCTCCCCAGACTTAAGACCCCCTGAGTACTCTGGCAAATAAAGTTGCAGGGGCTTGATTTAAGGATTGTCCATGTTTTCCTGGTGAGTGAACTAAAGTTAATTGTATTGCCCAAGGTGATGCAACAAACAGAGGTTGGAGCTGAGGACAGAACCCATGAATTCTGACCCTTGATTCTCTGCTGTAACCAGGAGGTACATAAGGCATAGCTTTTCCTTTAATTTTGGCCATGAATTGTCTGTAACTTCATTGGAACGTTACTCCTTTAATCTCTAGTGAAGTGAAATTAGAGAAACAACCCTTTTTCTGCTTATAACGATAAGCATTTTCTACCATGGTTTTATTTTTCAAATTCTTATAAAAATTCTCATAAATAATCGGCAGTAATAAACATGGGCAGAAACACATGGGGCCATATCCTGTTTTACCCATTAGGCATTAAGTACAAATGTACATGAGCCCTTGGAAAAACCTTTCACGTGAAAAGCAGTGGGCCTTTTTCCTTTTCACTGTGAGTTGTGACTTCATCTTAAGGCTAAGATGATGTTATGCTTCAAAAGTAGCTTCATTAGTAGTTTTTCAGAGTGTTGGGCAGGATGACATAAGATTGCAGTTATTTCTGAGAGTCTACTTAGGTGCCTAATATGTTGAATAGAATCTGCCCATCCTGTTTTGAATCTTGTTAATTATTTTCTGCTTTGAGTCGCAGTGACTGCTATCAATTTGGCAACTGGAACAAAGAAAGGAGATGCCCCAGTCGGTTCTGAGTAAAAATTAAAGGTGCTTGACCTAATAAAAACATGATGGTTTCCCAGCAGAAAATTAAACTGGACAGGCTAATTGCTAAGGCCTTAGCATTTGGATGAGCTTATAATTCTGGTTCTGATGTTATGATGACCTGGATGTAAAATACTTCATCTTACTGGTTCCCTTTATTTCTTTTACTATGGCTTTTGTAGTGGTCTGTTTTATTGATCAATAAAATATTGTTACAGTACAGTGTTTGGAAACCAACTGGACATCCATACTGGTGGCATAGATCTTGCTTTTCCTCATCACGAAAATGAAATTGCACAATGTGAGGCTTATCATCAATGTGAGCAATGGTGCAATTATTTTTTACATTCTGGTAAGTAAAAAAACGAAGATGTTTTAAATTTTTTGTACTTGGCTTTCTTCTTTTAATGGCATAGTACTTGTATTCTTCAAAATTTGGGGGAAAAAGTGTTTCAGGACAGAGATACTGCTATTGAGGCCAAGTTTTTCCCCCTTCCCTTTTTCCCCCTTCCTTTTTTTCTTTAAATAAATGAAGAAAATAATTAGAAATGAATTTTACCAGAGCTAATACAAATAGAAACCTTTATTAGTACAGGAACGGTAGGGTTTTTTTTATTGTACCTGGATTTTGGGAAGTTGCCAAGTTGTGACATTTTGTACATGTCTGGACGGGAAGGTCACTAACTGCCTTTTGAAGATATTGTCTCCTAGAATTCTTGCTCACTTTTTATCTACCTTCTCTCAGAATTTGGGATGCTGCTGTAGGGGCTATGTTGTCTTTTGTCTTTCTGGATATTTGTCTTTCTCCATAAAGATTGAAACAATTTATTCATGTTTGCTCTTTTGGATGTAGTCCTAAAAATAGAACTTTGATTCCAAGGTGGTACAATCTGAGGTAAGGTGAGAGGATAGGTGGATGCTTTTTTAATAATAATTTTTAGAAGCTGGAATAGTTGCAGATCATTCTTGGATTCCTTTGTTTCAGTCAAGTGTTGTTGGCCTGGAAGGAAAGTTTTCATTAGAAATCTGTAATAAACAACCATATTTATAAATATAGTGGAATAATTTGAATGATGATAAGAAGAGACATCCATACTACAGGAAAATGTGACCTGCAGGTAATGCTGAGGTGTGTGGAAGCTGGTGAACAAACAAAACTCCCAAAGCTGTTTCAACAGAGAGAAACATCTGTGTTGGAGAAAAACACTGGCAGTGCTGAATATAATTATTTTGTAGTTGACATACATGAAACTTGTCTACATTCTTCTGGGAGACTTAATGTACCAATAACTTTGTCATGTGATGAGAAGAAACAAAATGTGTTAGTTTCAGATGTGCTCTGGAATTGTCATCTTTTTGCATTCTGGTTTGTTCTTGGCCATGAAATTCCAGAATCCTGGCAAAGAGAGGGGCCTTCAAGTGTGTACTACCATTCCCTGCTTGGGTTTTTTCAGGCATGACTTCCCTGTAAACTGCCACCTTCTGGTTGTAGTACTGTCCAGTCTACATGGAGCATCTTTCTTGAAAGCCATAGAAGCAGATCCTTAGCTGGTGTAAATGCTCATAAATCCAGAGAAATCTTTTTCTAGCTTGTTCAGCAGCCACTTAAGGATTATGTACAAGAAGCAGGCTAGCTAGAAACAACCCATATTTGCCTTTGATCACAGGGTTGATAGCCCAGTCTGTCTTCCTCTCTGGATGTTTCACATATCCCTTCCTTTCTCCCTTATTATAGAGAAACCTGAGTTGCTGCATCAGCTGATACATCATGCTTTTTTATAATGAATAATTTTCAAACATTATTTAAACCTGGCTCAAGTGACCTTGATGTTACGCTCTCTCCAATCATTGTGAACAAGGCCAAGCTGTATTTTAAATCAAATTTAGAAACAGTGACCTAGTCTTTGAGGAGGCACAATTTGGTGCTGTCAGCACTTGCCAGAGGGAGAGAAATAATTAAAGAAAAAGGTTAGTTTAAATTTGCTTCTGAGTGTCCTTTGCAACTTGGTTAGGGAAGAAATTTGTCAGAGCTGCAGTACACACAGGCTCATAGTATAAAGAACCTGTCTTTTGTTTCTTTACAGAACTGAGAAGAGGACTTGACTTTATGAATCTATTAAGATAATTTTCTTTTCTGGCCAGCTGCCTTATTGGTTATGCCTAAATAAATCATCTGAAAGGGCCAGACCTTAGTTCACACAGCCTTATCCTTTGCTGTGTTGAGTAAGAATCCTCCTGTGCAGATTTTAATGATAGTGGCGCTCCTCTGGATGCGGTCATGGAGTTCAAAGCAGAGTTATTCAGTAGTAAGGAAAGTTTGCAGTCATCTATATCTGTAATATACTATAGTTCCTATAGCTGTACTTCATGCCTGATCCTGAGAGGAACTGAGTGTCTGCAACTTGAGTGGAAGTTGAGGGAATTTTGTAACTTTAAGAGTTAATCCCTTTAGTCTGAAAAGCCAATTAAGGCTTTTAAACCATGGTGCTGAATACTATCACTGGCTGCACTGTTAGCAGTTATTTTTCGCTCTCCTTTCTTAAGAGGAGGCTTTGTTCTGTCTCTTAGTCTTTATATTTTGCCATCATTTTTCCATCTGTTAATAGAATATTTACTCTTCCATCCTTTTATCAATCCCTAAATGTGGTGGTGTTTTTTTTTTTTTTTTGTTTTGTTTTTTTCTTTCCCCATTTTTTGAAACTCACTCATTTTGTGCATGCTGTTCTGAGGCAAACTTGAAGGAAATGTTTTTGGATCATTTGTGTACAAGTTACGTTTGTATTCCTTTTTTTACATTTATGTCCATTCATTAATGCTCTGGGTATGTAAAAATGTAGGGCTTGCACTTGGAGTAAAAGTACATTTAAAAAGACTGAGTCTTGCCTTGGTTGGCAGAAGTCCAGCTACATTAGTCCTGCATCTAGCAACTGTAGCATCTCAGAGCAGAATTTTTCTTTTTGCTTTCTACCTATTCAGAAGCAGATTAAATTAATGTTATTGTTTTTGTTTCAGGGCACTTGCACATTAAAGGAAATAGAGAAAAAATGTCAAAATCATTAAAAAACTACATTACAATTAAGGTAATATACTGTTGTAAACTACAGAAATGTGTAGTTTTTTTATATACCAATATTCGTTTTGGGTACCTATAGATGAGGAAGGAGGCTGCTCCGATGCAATGTAATTTAATCGAGTCTGCTGGAGTGTGGTAATTACCGCGGTCCAGCATCCTCTTGCTTCTTGCATCAGTGTCCCTGTGCTTCAAAATGGCAGTGGGGGTGCTCTATCTAAAGCTCATTTGATGCTGATCTTTGAGACACTGTGGGCACTTTAGTGGCTCCAAGAGCCTCAATGATTAAAGTTCCCCCCTTCCCCTTCCCTCTACTCCCAGAGCATGTGTATAAACACCAGTGTAAGCCAGTGTAAAGGCTGGACAGGAAAGAATTCTCCAGATTTGGAGCTCATGGCTGTGATGGCATATTTGGGTAAATTAATCTTCAGTCATTGTCAGTAAAGATACTCTGATTAAACCTTGTTTTATAATTCTTTGAAGCCAAGACCTGTGGACCATGATAAAAAGCTGTAATTGAGTTTTCTTTGTATAATTAATTTTTATACTCCTGTCATAATACATCTCAGATAAGAGCGATGTATTTGGGAAGATGATGCTCAGATGATATAATTTAATTGATACAGTTTATTAATTAAACTGCCCAGCAGATGAACAAATGTATACCATTCGTAGTTGTATACAGTTGTGGAACAACCTTGTTTTGAGACTTTATTTTGTATCTCCTTTAATATGAAGCAGACCTCCACACTCGTGACCTTTTTACATGGAGTTTTCATAAATCTTATAATGCTGCTGCACTGATGGCTCTTGAAGCCTGCATTTCCTTTATTGCCATTGTCTTAGTAATGCACGTAGATCTTTACCTCGCATCTACTATCAACAAGCGGTAAGAGTATGTCTGTTTCAGCAGGTTCTTTATCTTTTTAAATGACATGCTGTATTAGTGTCCCATGCTCTTGCCAGAAGCAGCTTTCCTTTGTTGAAGCAGTTGTTTCTGGTGGATTTTATCAGGAGGTTTATTAACAGGTTCAGACCAAGTTCTTGAAATGGTGTAGAGCACAGTTTGTCCTCCGCTTCATTCACAGCATAAAAGTGTTCAACAACAGCTTGGCTGTACTTTTTTATTGCTACTTGGTGTCAGCAGTGAATAATCTTACTCATGTAGGCATGTCATAAGAGGCTGAATCAGTGTACTGATTTCCCTCTCTGGCTTCCCTGGAAGACCATTTAAAATCCTTGGAAAATCAAAGTGCAGTATGAGCTACTGTTGTGCATAAAATTTCTCCTCATGTTGTCTGTTTAAAGTGAGGCTGTAGGAAAATTTTCCATTGCTGACAGTTCTCTCAGTATTTTTCCAAGTATGAACAGATGATGGAAAGGTGAAATAATGAGGCGTAATACAACAAGCACTACTTTTAAAATAAAAATTCTTTTTAATTTTTAATGGGATATTTTACACCAGGAAATATCCCTTGGAAGATGAAAAGGGACTTCCCATTAGCAAGTTACGTTATATGCAATGTGAGTCAAATACATTTAGTAATAAAAAGCTGCAAATCTAGTGTTCCTTCCTTTAATATTCTACAGGTAATTTTTCTCTCTGTCTTATCAACCCCATTAAGTAATTTTCAGTACAGTGAACCACATTTCCTCACATTTAGGCTTTCTACACCTTGAATTTAAAACTCATGTGGAACTTTACTTGTGTACATCCTGAAGAATTCAAGGCAAGGGTGATGCCTTCTGCCTTTCCTTTGTCCTCCTTGGCAGTAATGCAAGACAGCGATCCATCAGTTGTGGCATTTGGCATATCTATGACATTCTTATTTAATGTTACTACAAGGGAAGTATAATTTAGTTTCAATTTTAAGTAAACATATTGAAGAGAGAGAATATTTTTAGACTTTCAAACTGCAGAAGTGAATAAGGGAAAAATGGGTTGTTTTAACCCAACAGGCTAAGCAATTTACATGTAACGTAACACAATATAAAGGATCACAGTGAAGGACCTGCTTATAATAGGTATAATATAATGCTTTTTTTTATTAGGATTTTCTGAAGAAGTTTTCCTCAGATGAGTTCAGAATGTTTTGTTTGCGCAGCAATTACAGATCAGGTAAGGAAAAAGGCCATCTTTTCTAGCAAGCCTTCCAAAATAGTGAAGACTATTACTATTGCTTGTGCTACTGGAGTAGCACAATGTGTTATAATAGAGTCTGGTCCCATTTAGGTGTGTAGGTGTGACTATTTTATTTTATTTTATTTTATTTTATTTTGTATGCCATTTGGGTACCTGAAGATCCATATTGCATCTGCTTTTGTAACACATCATCGTTTGACCCTTGCAACTGAGTCAGAAGAAAATATTGAGGAGGAAGACCCCACCCACCTTTTGTATTAATTTTTCAGGAACTCGAGCATGGTGAAATAAACACCCAAGCAAGATTCTAAGTACACATAGATGCCTAATAGGTGAAATGAATCTGGCCTTTGGTGCCTAACAGCTTCAAATTGCTCATGTTGAAGAGTGCTAGCATGTTGCAAGATATTTGTCCCAAAACTTGTATAGGAAAAACAGCTTGACTTCAGCCAACACTTAACTACATGTGCATGAGCTTTCCTGCATTGCAGCCTTAATTTATAAATTATCACTTTCTCTGTGGTGGTCACTTATGATGTGTTTAGATCAAGATCAACAAAGTTTGGAGAGAGAGCTGAGTGAAATTTTGCTGCATATTCATATAGTTATGACTGGGACATGACATCCTTTTTTTTTTTTTTTTTTAATTACTGTGGCTTTACATTTGTGATCTATCTGATTAATGGAAGATATTTAGTATTCAGAGGGTGCATCTTACACATGCTATTAGGGTGAAGAAATAAACTGGCACGGTTTATGCTGGAGTTCATTTCTCCTGGACACAGTGTTTACACATGTGCCAGGGACCACAGCATGTTAAGCCTGCAGTCCCAGGCTGGCAAGGGAGCTGCGGTGAGTCAACCCCAATCTCTGGGTGGTAGTGTCAGGCTAGCCACACTGTAGCACCCTTAAGCCCCAGCCAGCCCTGGCCACCATCTACATGCGTATTGCAGTGGCATAAATTAGTCTGCCATAGGATAGTGCTTGTCCTGGACAGTACTATTCTACGGCAGAGTTAGTTAATTTACTGCGCCCTAATATGGGCGTATGTGTAGATGGCGATGCTGTACTGCGGAGCTGATTAGTGAATCCCATAGTAAAGCACATGTGTAGATGCAGCCGGAGGACGCATGCTAGTGAGTGTGTACATGTGGTTCACAGCACCTCAAAGCAATTTGAGGCACCACAAATGGAATGTGGCACACATGCATCTGTTCACTGCGCTGCTAGTTTGCTGCCTAGCAGTTTTTTTGACACTCGGAGATCCTGGTGTCAAAGAAGAACATTGCTGAAAAAAGTGGCATGGTGCATGCAGCAGCAATTTGTAGTTTGTGCCACCAGAAAGGGAGCCTAGCCAGCCAGAGCCATGATGTGGCTTCCAGCCAGGCTCCAAGCTGCTGGCTTAGCATCACTGCTGCCCTGGGAGGCCCCCAGGACCCCAAGTAAGGCTGCTGAGGCCAGTACAGGTGCTAGCCCCAATCTCCCCTACCACACCTGGATCACTTTGCCATGTGTCAGAGTGAGTGTGCAGTGGCATAAATATGTCCCATGGGAAACGCGCTCCCATGCACGTGTGTGCTTCTTGGGATGCTCCCAGAGAGTTTAATGGTACAATAAAGCTCACTTGCATGAAAACCCAATAAACAATAAGCCATTCTAAATGAACAAGAGTCCTGCATTTTTGGGGTTTTTTAAAGCTTTTGTTTCTCTTTAATAGATTTTTTTTTTTACAGGATTGTAACAAGCAGTACTTTTTAACAAAATACATTTTAATGCAGACGGCAAGAGTGTTATGCCCCATTCACGCTCCCTAAAATAGAACAGAAATTTCATGACTCCAGTTGGGTCATACAGTCTATTCAGGCTGATAGTATTGTAATTGAGTGCCAGAGCCTGTTGACTGTGCACTATATTTGTAGTGTAATCTTTGTTAAGCAAGCTACTAGACATCCCAAATTAACACCTCTAATGGGAAAATTGGGAGAGCTGAGGTAGTGAATGCCTTATTATTTTATTAACAGGTGCTGCTTTGTAACACGCTGTGAATTTTGTATGGATAAACAGTTCTATGGCATGGGTCTTTTGGCTGATTAATACCTTTAGCTCTTTGCTGGGCCGACTGAATGGATCTCTGCTCGTATTAGTGACTAAAGGCTCTAGGAATGCTTCCTGTGCCTAAAATATTTTACAGAATGAGATTAAAAAAAAGAGTTGACTGGCTCTGTCACAGCCCTCAATCACCATGGAAAAGGAGGAATAAATCCTAGACAAATCTTGCTTGTTGAACAAGCCCCAAATGTAAGCAAAAGAACAGCTGTGTGTGGAAGGAGCGTTGCTTCTCTGGTTTGAGGCAGCAGGGATGGTTGCATGCTTGTCACCTTGGGGTCTCTGCACCTGTCAGAACACCAAATGAATGTTGAGCACATAAGTGGCTCTCTAACGTACCTTGGGGCACTTGCAGCCCTGCACAAACACATGTTTGTAAAAATGTAATGGGAAGCTAAAATGCATAATACATGTGTGTTCTGTAAACAAAGGCTCAATGGCACTCAACTTTCAAGGCTGCCCCTGGGGCAAGGAGAAATGCTGACAGCCTTGTATTTGATGGTTGGTTGGTTAGTTAGTTACGCATCATTTTCTACAGCTTGATTGGGTTTTGTTTTGTTTTTTTTCTTATTGTCTTTTAATCGGTAAAGAGAAAAGAATCTGGGATCTTGTATAAAGTGTGTATGTAATAATATAAGAATATCACGTACATCCAGTCTATAAATATAGCTTTATATACTATATATGTATAGTATATAAAAGTTATTTTTATTTTATTTTTTTTAATTTTCATTTTGATAAAGACAGAGGACCAGCCACACACACAGGTGGCTTTGATAAAAGGAAACAGTTTGTCATTGGCTGGAATTTGATTGGAGTAAATGAGAATCTTCTGTCACTAATCTGCAGAGCAAATAGGAAAACAATCTGAATGACTGTTACTCTCGCTACAAAATGGAGAGGTTAAGAAGGCAGGACCTGATCTAGAACATGAGACCAGCCTGTCTAGTCTTCTATCTGCTCATACATGTTTAATTCATTTTTACAGCTAATTTTTATTACTTGGTTCCATTTTTTTTTTTCTAGTCTGCTTTCCAAATTAATTTGTTAGAACAGAGAAATTTTGCTTGAGTTCAGTGTTTCTCAGAAAGTTTGGGTAGGGTTGTTGGGGAGCATATTTAGACTATTGTAGCTGTCTTTAAGACTGAATGTCTTGTGTCCTACTGATTAGAACATGGAGTTAGAATCAGACCCTTACACTGGCCATATTTTTGAGCCCCTGAAAGATCTTGTAAAGCTGTGGTAGGAGGATGATGGCTGACAGTCTTGCTACTCAGGCAAAATGAAAATATATCCACTGAATGGACCAAGCTGTTCTGTGCAGGAGACAGTCATCTTCTCAGGGTCTTGAATACAAGTTGGAGAATCTGCCACAATGTAAGGCAGGGGTGGGCAATTATTTTGGCTGGAGGGTTGCTTAATGAATTCTGAGCTGTCAAGAGCCACAAGGGTAGCCCTGTCCCTTAACAGGTGCCCTGCCCCCTGGCTGCCATCTTGGGACTAGAAGTCCTGCCTCTAACCCCTGACCTTTGCCACTGGAAGTCCTTCCCCTTGCCTCCAAAAGTACTTCTTTTGGGAGAGGAAGGGGGTTGCCATCTTGGAACTGAAAAAAAACCTAAATCGTATACTAAAAATCAAATATCTACTGTAACATTTTAATTTTATTTAAAAAAAAATATATATTTTGTCCTAATTGTGTATGTGTTTGCATAGTGTATACAGAGGCAATTGCATAATAGCTCAAAAATAAAGTCTTACTCCTGTATTGGGTGTGGCAGGGGGTGTGGTGGCATGTGAGAGGGCCCCCACATCCATTCTCTTCACCCCTGTGGTGCACAGCCCTTGGTGGTGGTGGCAGCAGCAGCAGGCCCTCTGGGTACTCATGGCCCACAGCAGGCAGATCCTTCCAGCTGTGAACAGCTCTGTCTGAGTCCTGGGAGCTGCACATGGGGGTAAGGAGTGGGGCCAGGCCACTGCCATCTCCATTGCACAGGGATCCCTACAGCTCACGTGCAGCTTCTGGGACTTGGCTGCAAAAAGGTTGTTAATATAGGCTTGAGAGATCTCAGGAAGGGGGCCATGCCCATGGCTACAGAGGAAGGCAAGAAACCCCACAGTCTGTATCAATTGGGCCATGGGGTCAAATTCCTTCCTGACCTCCATACATGGTATCAGTCTGAGCCTGAGTGGAGGGGCAAGAACCGCTAGCCAGGAACCTCCAGGTTTGATTCCCAGTAGGACCACCGGCAGACCCTGGTTACAATCCCCAGCCCTGGCTGCGGCCAACACTCAGTGCCTCTGAGGAAGTTTAAAAAAAAATCATGACACAGCAGAGGTAATGGAAATTCCCTCCCAGCTCCATGAGGCAAATAGCAAAGACCAGAAGCAGGGGGAAATCCCCCTATGGCCAGATCATCCCTGATCAGTGGCTGTCCAACCTCTCCTTGAACCCCTCCAGTGATTAAGAGTCCACCTAGGGAGTCTGTTCCACCATGTCATTGTTCTAAAAGTAAAGACATTTTTCCTGAGATCTAATCTCAGCCTACTTTGGTGCAGCTTCAAGCTAGCATGAAAAGAGAATGCAGCCCTGTGTGCATCTAAAGGGAGGGATGGAATGCAAGAAGAGAGGGCCAGAGGCCATGGGCATGGAGATGAGCAGCTCCACAGCTCTTCCCCAGGTTGCAGCCCTGGGCAGGCTGACAGTCCAGTGAACCAGAGCCAGAGGGGGAGGGGGGAGACTGACCCGGGACAGGGCTGAGTTGCAAAGTTTAGTGATGAGGGCTGGATTTGGGGGGGGGGGGGGGAACAGCCAGACAAGCAGTGACTCATGACTGCAGAGAGCACGTGCAGTGATGGTCCTTACAGGTGGTTTGAATGCATCAGGTGTTCCAGGAGAACCTGGAGGGCCCTGAGGGAAGAAATAGTGAGGTCAGTCCTTGGCCATGGCAGCACCGTGGCAGGCAGGACTGGCCCAGGATGACACTGGTTTGCTTCAGCCTCCGTGCAGAATGCCTCTGCATCCCGGGTGGCTTTGTTGACTCACCCTCCTCAGACCCAGACTGTCAGTGGCTGTGAAGGTGTCCTTGAGAGGGCAGGGAAGCAGCCTGGCACCAGGAATGGCTCCTGGAGCACTCAAGTGGATACCTTCCCTAGACTGCTCCTCAATAGAGGAGGAAGTGGGATGGAGGGAGGGAGAGAGACTAGCAGTGCAGGCTACAGGAGATGCTCATGGCCATGGCTACTTACAGGAGGTCCAGGCAGTCTTGGGAATCCCTGCTATAAGAGGTCCCTTTTTTGGCTGCGAGGTAGGGGGCAGGTTTTGGTGTCCTGTCCATGGTGGAGACAAGAAGGGGACTAACACAGAAACAATTGGGCTTTTTCTGTTTTCCTCTTACCCCAAGGGCACAGTACAAAGGTGTCTGTGTGTTACCTAGGAACTGTCTACAGCAGACAAAGCCCATATGGTGTACCTAAGACTCCTCTTTTTGACAACTAGAAATATTGATGGTGATTGGGCTCCCATGTAAAATTACTGATATGTCAACTGCCTTCATTATTACTGATCATAAGGTTTGGTTGACTTGTTTGTAAATTGCTATTGGAGTGATATGGATTGCCCTTTGGGATCAGTCAGAGAAACCACCAAAGGGCCCTTGGATGTGCCTTTCTTCCTTTTATTCACTTCCTCTCGTTGCCCTTCCTGCTCAATGCATGTGCATGTTGGCTACAGGAAGGACAAATAGGTTATCCGTGAATATATAACACATAGCAATATCTCCTTCATGCCAAAATCTGGATGCCTCCTGTCTTCCCAAAGTTTGAGAGAAGGAAAAAGGGGGATTGGAACAAACTGGTGTGAGCTCAAACTCTGATGCTGCCTAGGTATGGATGTTGTTTTTCAAAACTGTTCTTTGAGTCTCTGCCAATATTCCTGGACTTGAGATACCAGCTCTGGTGTGTTGTACCATTATTCCAACCACAGTTGGCCTGGAGTCTGAGGTTATGCCTTGGGACAGACCTGGAAAGGTCTAAGCATCTTTGCTTAACCTCAAGTTAAGGCCTCTGTAGTGCCTTCTCCTTGAGGTTGAGGAAAGAGTTTTTAGACTTCCTTAGTACAGAACAGCAGTACTCCACCTTTTGGCCCCGTGAGCCTGATGAGGAGTGCAGGGCTGGTCTGTGGACTGGGTTAGAGTTCCCTGCCAGGACTAGGCCCTGCACTTCCTCTACGCAGCCCCCACACATGGATTGGGTCCCATGCAGCCTTGGCTGGCCCCCACACACGGATTGGGACTTGGGGCCCTGCATGGCCTTAGTTGACTCCATGCACGGTTCAGGCCCCACATCACTTCCACCTGGCCTGCATGTACTGGCATTGGACCCTGGGACCATGAGGAATGGATCCCAGGGCCACACATCATCCACACTTGTTGGGGCTTGAGCAATCCTAGCGTAGAGCACGCTGCCTCATCTTTTGAGTTATATGGACTGTTGCCAGTGCTGGATGCAGTTTTAAAGTGATGGATGCTGTGTCTAAAACCCCATATTATTTGGAACCCAGTTATAAGGCATTGTCTCACTGGAGGCTTTGCTCTTGTTTCTTGACACAAAATTCTTTAGGGGCCATAAGTGGCAAGATGTTTTCAGTAGATTGCCTGCGTCTCAGGGACATGCTCGAACTGAGCTGGAACTTAGGAAAGCACTGTACAAGCCCAGTTTACTTGCTCCAGTCTTTGATTGTCCTTTGGTGCTAAGAAGGAATTTATGTCATCATTGACGGTGCCTTGCAGTCTGCGGTATAATCCACAGGTGTCTTCATAGTAGCGGTGCACCGATAGAAAATTTGCTGGCTGATACTGATACTCGATATTTAAGGACGTAGATCAGCCGATACCGATCCTATTTCTGATGCAGCTGCCTCCACAGCTGGTAAGTCTGTTGTGGGAGGAGGGAAAGGGCGGGGGGAGGGGGGCAGATGAATGCCCCCTGCAGTGAAGGAGGGGGCAGGGGCAGGTGCTGCCCAGCTGGGGTGGCATGGGCGTGGGATGGAGCCATGGCTCGTGGGGGAAGAGGGAGTGGGGCTGCAGTTGTGAGCTGGAGCTGCGTGGGGCTCTTCTAAGTGGGGGCTGGGCTTGGAGCAGGTGCCAGCGGCACTAGGAGGATGCTGCGTCCACCCCAAATTTCTCCACCACCAGCCACCTGGCACAGCCCTGGCTCAATGCCCCACCTCCACCCATGTGCCGGGAAGAGCCAGGGCTGTGCCAGGTGGCTGGCGGCAGCGAAGCTGGGAGCAGAGGTGGGGCCCATGCCCCTCCGCCCTCCCAGGGGGCAGGCAGCAGTGGGAGCCACCCCCCGCCCCACCCACCCACCAAGAGCCACGGCTTTGTCCTATGCCTGCCCCACCTCGGCTGGGCAATGCCTGCCCCTGCCCCCACCCTCCTCCCCTTCCACCACAGCGGATTTACCAGCTGGTCCTCACTGCCTGAGTGCTGTGCTGTGGTCGCGCACAGCATGAGCATTTATTGGCCAAATTATGGCCCCATCAGGTCGATTTCCAATACACCTAATTTTCTTTATAGTGGTACCGATCTGATATTGGACCAATGTATCAGTGCACCTCTACTTGATAGTGATAGTGTGGGTCAGTGTAAAATTTATGGCACTGTACAGGAATAGCTTCAATCAATATGGGCTTCAGTAGCGTACAGTAGTATCAAGTATTTAGCTGAGAGCTGCTGTAACCAGGGGGATTAATTAGATAATCTTATTGGATAAAAATTGATGTCTAATTTCTTACTGGTTTTATAAAAATTACCAAGTATACTTCATTTTAAAGACACAATTGAACTTTAAAACTTCTGTTAACGCAACATGCAAGATAGATTTTAATCACTTTCACACTGAGAATCTCATGGAGCCAAATTTTGACCTCCATTTATACAGGGGGAAATCCAGAGAAACTCCATTTTAAGCAATTGGACAACTTTCTAGATTTATGCTGGAATAAGTGAGGCCAGGACTTGCCTGTAGCTTTGACCACTGTCTTAATTCCATTCTTTTGCACTTGTTGTGTAGTTATTTAAGGAAGGGGGTGTGTGTGTGCATGTGCGTGTGTTCCATTGCAACTGGCTGTTTTGTACAAACACAAGTGTATGTCTGAGGCCAGAGGTGAGGTTGCTATGGAAACTGTAAGTTCAGACTCTGTTGATGTAATTAGTGATGCATTATAAACTATGCTAGGGGTAGCCAACCTGTGGCACAAGTGCCAGAAATGGCATGGACAGCTTGTGTGTGGCATGTGGCAGATCAGGAAGGGAGTAGGCCTCACAGAAACAGAAAAGGCAGGGAGCGAAAAGCTAACCAGCAAATCAGGCAGGGAGCAGAAAATAGAGCAGCAGATAGGGCAGGGGAAAGGGGTCGGAGTGGCACTTAGGGAGGATGTGGGGCCCATTTGTAGCACACCTGCCAAAAGATTGGTCCTACTGAGCTACACTTTGGATAGAAGTCAGTCCAGAAAACAGGCATTTATGGCATAGCAGCATGAGCATACAGATTCTGAGCATGCAGATTGTGTAAGTGTCTCTGATTTGATGAGAGAGTAAATTAAAATTCAGTCCTCCTGGTGATGGGCACGGCTTACAGTGGATTTAACTTGGATGCATAGCACCTGCTTATTCCAGGGTTAAATTTGGCTCTGTTGGAGATGCAGCACCGTATGGTAGGGTGCACGTAGCTTCCTCTATTAAGAAAATTAGCCACTACTGACAGCTGCTGTCTGTAATGGGTACAGCTGGACTGCTGTTGTATAGTGTTTTTTCTGTGCAGTGCAGTCAATGACAGGCAGTTCTCAGAGCTATTTAGAAACAAGGGTTAAAGCCTGAGCCAACTAAACCAAATATTTACTAGTAAGCTCTGACCCCAATTGCAGAGATGCTATTGGTACGCATAGGCTAAAACTGGGACCCCGCCTACTGTGATAGCAGGCTTCAGAGCACATTTGGCATAGTGAAGACTGAAGATGCCATTCTGCTTAATTGAACAGTTAATATAGATGCCTCTTTAAAGATGCATGACTCAGCAGGAGATGTGACAGTTCAGCATGGCTTTTTGTGGTGTATCCTTATTTTTTTTATGGTAATTATAAATATGACTGGCTTAAATATTGTTGGATATTTACAAGACGTAGAGATTCAATACATAAAAAGGTTGTTTTTTTTTTTTTTTTTTTTAAGTTCAGCATTGTTTCAAATATTTTTCAAGTGTCCATTGGGCTATTCTATTTGCATCTCATTAGTGTAAGACTTTTTACTTTAAATTACTGAATGACTTGCATCTTATTTAATATTCTTGAAGGTTAAAGGTTTTAGTTAAGCTTATACGTAACCTTAACAAAAGTTTTGTTTTCTCAGATAACTATTACAAGAAATGAGGGTTCTTTCTTTATTTCTTGTAGTAGCTCCTGTTAGGCAGCATCTTCTGCATCATAACACCTCCATGAAATTTTTATTTTCTTAGCAACTGAATTTAGTGACGAGAGCATGGATGATGCAAAGAACCTCCTTTGGGCAATTTCTTCTTTTATTAATGATGCAAATACTTATATAAAAGGACAGCTGGTGTGTGAGCCCATTAGAGAAGATGTATTGTGGGAGAGGTAAGTGTGCACAACATTAATGGCTTGAAGAATCTAGTTGTATGAACAGGGAGTTAAACTTTGAGCCAGATTACATAGTGTTAAGAAGGTTAACAAAAAAATTGCATCTGCTCAGTCTAAATGGGACAGAGAAACATTCTTTACATCTTCCTTTTCACCTTCTAGTTGTCCCTTTCTCCCCTTCCTATGTCTTGTTGTAGCTTTTCTGCACAGTCTAATCCAGTTTGTTACATGCTGTATTATTATTTTTTTTTTTTAGTGTGGTCTTACCTAGGTTGCTTGTGCCCATTTTTTCTGAACTAGCTTCCACTTCCACTATTTAAAGCTGTAGGGATGCCAGGGTGTAAACACCACTGTATGTTAATAAATTAAACAAAGGAGAAAGGGTAATTGGAGAATTGAACATAGTTAATACAAGTAATCTGTAAAAGCGGAATTTCAGACATTAAATTTCATATTGTCAACTCCTGCGATGAATGGAAGTAGCGTTTAAGATTTCGACAGACATAACTTTCTGCTTTCACACTGAAGCATGCAGCCTCCAGATCAGTGTAGCAGTTTGCATCATAGAACAGCTCAGAACAAAATGACAGTGTCATTTGATGACTCCCTGTGGCTGATTGCTGATGAATTCAATATATGGCTGGCATCTTGTTCATCTTATCTGAAATGTTACATTTTCTTCTCGAAGGCTAGCCAACACAAAAGTGAATGTGAAGGCTGCATTTGCAGATGACTTCGACACCTCCAGGGCTGTTTCTGCAATTATGGACCTCATTCACCATGGCAACAGACAGCTTAAGGCTGTTACTAAGGTAACCCATTAGGATACAGAGATCAGAAAATGACAGCTGTCCACAGCCCTACTGTTTAATATAGACAGATTAGTTTATTGTTCACGTAAGAGACCAGCAGAAACAAAGCTCTGCAAAATGACAGTCTTGATGGCACACATTAGTCCATTTTGCATCTCTAAAATTTTGGGCTGCTGCTGTTTTATACTCCATGGCCAAAGCATCTTTCACTGCTGCTGTCCTGTGTCCATAGATAAGACATTGGAAAGACCTGAAGATGTTTCACTATGTCATGGATATTAATGTCTGTTGGATACAGTTGCATATTATCCTACTTCACCATTAAAATACTGGGGATAGGTTGGTACGAATTTCTTTTATAAACAAAAAACCTTGGCCAGGACTTCTGGTGCATGAGGTGGCAATTGTGGTTTATACTGTATCCATCTCATTCAGATTTCAGAACTCACCTTTGCTATGGGCAAATCAAGACACCCCCACCCCCCTCCACACTTCAAAACTATTAGTTGGCAATTCGAGGCCCCATTTCAGATTTGCTGATGCTGAAGCAGAGGAATATCTTGTTGGTTGGATGTAGCAGCTCAGGGATAAAAATGGAGCATAGGCATGAAATTGCACGTCCTGGGTCCTACCCCTTTTGGCTGACTTTGTCCTTCAGTTTTGGTAAATTACATAACTGCTCTGCTTTGTTGCCCAGCTGCTTAATTGCCAATTTCATGGTTTATCTGTACTGGGATAACCGGACTTGGAATATGGCAGTAGCTCACTTAAAGATGAGTTTTATTCACTTTTTTTTTTTAAATCCCTGTCTCCTGTCAGTCCTGTAGGAATACCAGTCTCAGATTTAGGTTCTTAATCCTCACCTTTCCATTTCTTTAGAAAGTTCTTCTGAGCCAATCTCAGGTTGCAGTTCAGATCCTTCACACAGCTGTTTGGATTAACAAAAATCTCAGATCTTCTGACAATTGGATGATACATTTGAGGCAGCTACATCTGATCTAGTTTCCTTGCTGTTGCAGTGGTGGTACATTAGCAATAGCTTTGTCTTCCTGATATCTGTCTGTGACCTGCTGTGAGAACATTGTTCTGTGGGATTGTGGGTTCAGGGTGGCAATTCTGGGGAAACCTTTAGTTAATGAGTGCCTGCAAATGCAGGGGCTGGACTCCATGGCCTAGGCAGCCTTATCGTCCTACATAGATTCCTCCTTGCTGCGACCTCTAAGTGTGCTGCCCAGCATCTCTCTGAGCACTGCTGCTTCCTGTGCTTTGCCCTCCTGTGTACCATACAAGTGTTCAGATCTTTTTCCTTTGAGACCCATTGGCTTGCATATTCCCCAAACACACTCATTTTGTTGTTTCTTCCCATGTGTCTGATCTTTGGTGCATCATTTGTGTTTGTTTTTCTTGACTGTTGGTTTCAGCTACTTTTCCAATTTAATACCTTTTGTAAATTTCATGCTATTTATGTTTATGCCAATCATTAATGAAGATGTTGAATAAAACCTGACCCGGAACCATTTCCTGCTGCATCTTATATTTGCTTCCACTTGTGCTATAACTCTTTGCTAACCAGGTTTTTGCGCTGCAAGTGTATTCTCCTGGTCTTGCATTTTAATTTTGAATTAGCGTTGGGTAAATATAGAAGTAGTAAGTAAAGCAGTGTTTAAAACACTATTCCTGGGCAGTCAAATTCTGTAAGCTATTTCAAAACGGTCTTTGCAGTATCTAAATCAGTAAGACGAGTAATGTTCAAAAGGGTTTATACAGCTGATTCACCTGGATATCCTTAGAGCCGCCTGTTTTGTTTTCTTCGTGTTTGTAGAAAACTTCTTCCGTATAAGGTAAGAGGTGAATTTAAAATATGACACTTCTGCACACCACTTTTGTTTTTGGAGAAAAGGATCTTGTCTCGGTTTGGCTTCAAACTCATCATGAGTGATGTAAGGTAAATTGGCAAAAGACTTGTTTCTGAAAAAGTGCTCCTATGCGGGTGAGATGTATCCACAGAGCTGGTTAATATTGGCAAGGCTGGAGAGGTGCATTTTCTGTAGCAAACTTATTTGGACAACTTGTTTCTGTGGCTTTTAACAGGAAGTTGGATCCCCTAGAAGCCCGATTGTGTATGCAGCCATAATCTCCTATATCGAAAACCTTTTTAACACAGTCGGAATATCTCTTGGAGAAAGACAGGTATGAAATATCTCTCTTATGTATAATATAGTAATTGCTCATGGAATACTTTGCAGAAATGTTAAAATAAATGAGGAAATCAAGGTCAAAGGTAGTTGATGCAGAAACACTGAGAAATGAACGGTCATGGTGTGCAAGAGTTAATCCTCTTGCACAAATGAGCATTGGAGAGCAAACTGGGTTGAAATATTCCTTTGCATTTTATGGCCATGTCTGGCCATGAGTGTGGCCGTGCGGTATGTGGTGCTGCAGACATGTTTGCAGCACCACGTACCACATATTTAGGTGTTTTCTGTGCTGCAAGGGAGCAGTGCGGGAAGAGAGGGGGTTGACCCCTCCTATCCAGGAGTAAAACAAAAAACACCCAAAAAACCCACGCAAAAACAAAACAAAATGTGGAGCAGCACATGTGGGGCCAGCATCAAAACTCGAGCTGAGCCAGTCAGTCATGCTTTGGCTGCCAGCCAGCCTCCAATTGGCAGGATTGCTGTTGCTGCAGCCCTTGGAGGCCCCCAGGTAAGGCTGCTGGGGCAAACCCAGTGTTGGCCTTAGCCTCCTCTACCCCACCTAGGGTAACTTACCGTGCACCAGAGGGCGCGTGGCACAGGTTTGCCCAGGGATAACTAGCGGCAGGACAAGGTGTGCCACTGGTAGTTGTCCCCAGGGAACCAAATATTTATGCTCTTGTGGACACGGCCTGTGTTGTGTCACTGGTGGAGTAAAAAACGAGAGTTTGGGGAATTTGTACAATAATAAGCTTGAAGGACTGAGACCATCATATTCATACTTGTATACAGGTAGAAAAGGGGGAGGGAAAAGATGCCCATGAATCACACAAGTCAGACTTCTTTGTAGTGAGATATTAAATCCAAAGGTAATATCTCAGTAGTATGTGAAAGGAAAGCAACTTGGAAAATGAGAGAGGGGATTTTTCTGTGGGTGAAATTTGGAATATAGTAGTATCTGCAAACAGTGAGGGGACTTCCTTTTGTTGGGCTGGGTAGCACACCTGTCCTGCCAACATTTTTTTTTTTAGGATGCAGATAAAAATATTGATAACAAGAAATATTCATTTTAAGCCATTAGCAATGAACTGTTGCTTAGCTATGACTTAATATATTATCTTGATATTTTTTACTGTTGTTTCAGCAAGAGCAGTTTTTTGTGTATTTGGCTTCTACAGTTTAGCTGCATGGTTCATTTTTGATAACCTGCTGCCTTCGGGAGAGTTGTGCATAATTTTCATGTAGAACATGTTCCTGTGAATTCTGTGACCTTTTTAAACCTAGCTAGGATATATGCCTTGATGCATTTCTAACTTGGACCATGCTATGTGGGATTCTCTGGGCTTTTGGGTGGTACAGAGGCTGTTGCTATGCAGTAAGATTAGAAGAGCATTTTCTGTGTTGTCCTTGCCCCCCCCCCCTCCCCCCCCCCCCCCCAAAAAAAGTTTTGTAACTGAATAGAAGTGGTGGCCTGGATTGCATTCTGCTAGAAAACCATTCTTAGCTGTGCTACTAGCCTGCTAGATCCATCTCTTTAAGAAGAGAAAAATAATTTTGTTTCCTGAAATGTCAGTGCTATTAGTAGAGCATACAGTGCTACCTTCCACTTTAAATGTATATGATGCTACTGGCAAAATAAATGTGATCAAGTGTGCTGAAGGTGATTACCTAGTTCTTGCCCTGGAAAACCATATTGGGCATCAATGCCAGCTGCTTCCCACTCATTGCTGGAAAATCTCGTCTTGCTGATGCATAGAAAACATTATCACTGAGGGTATAAACAGAAGTTGCCAAATGAAACTGATCGGCTGTGCTGAGATGTATCCCGCCACAACTGATCCACTTCATTGGGTGAAACGTACATTGTCCATTTTCCCTCATTGAGCAGAGTCCTGTTCCTGCAGGACAACAGGCAGTGTCCTTCCCACTTAGAGACATGCCCTGGGGAATCTCCAAGGCATGTCTCTAAGTGGGGAAAACCAGGTTTTCCCACCTGCAGAGATGTGCCCCAGCCAACCTCTGGAACATGTCTCTAAGTGGGGAACTTTGACTTTCCTCACTTACAGAATTGTGCCCTGGAGATTGCCCAGGATGTGCCTCTGTAAGAAGGGAAAGCCAGGCAGGTGTTCCTGGCTCTGGATCCCACATGCCCCAGGAATTCCCATGCACGACTGAGCCCTGCAAGCCCCTGGAGCACCTGCTCAGGGTAGCTGGAGAGCCCGGGTAGCTCTAGATTACCTGCATTCTTGTACCATAAAGCAAATAGATGTCTGCAGCAACAAAACAGCAGAAACTAGTATCCCCTTTGTCACCTCCATAGATGTTGGGCATTTGCAACATGATATAGACATCCATTTGCTTGACAGTACAAAGGCATTGTCTATTTCCATCCTTAGTGCCTGCGCTTGCTTGGAGATGGATGAATGAGGATGTGAACTTTGGCATCTCCTAGTGCTTTCTCATGGAACGGGGGACATTGTGTGCTGAATGTGGTATTAAAGCATGCATGTCCTTGGGAATCAACAGGACCGATTGTCCCTCCCTTGTGCTAAATGGTAAAATACCATTGCCCCTTTTTATTAATTTAACAGGCTATGGACTCTTCCTCCTTTCCCCTCTTTAAATTCAGTCTGGATCACAACTCTGACAAGGAACACTGCGCTGTCCTCATGCAAACGAGTGCAGACACTAAGGATGGACTATTTCTCTTTATACTAAGTAGGGTTGTTAGAGACTACTTCTATAACTATTGCTTAGTGTTTCTGTTGTAATAGTACCTAGGAATAGTAAAGTAGGAACAGCATGTGTGCTCCATGCAAACATGGGAAGGGACAACTAGACACAACAGGTACATGAACTATGAGGTGGGGGGGAGGAAGGGGAAGAGGAACAGGAGGAGGACAGACTAACAGCAGAATTGTGCATGTTGCACAGTGGCTGGCTCATTTTGTCATCTCCCTGGCTGTTGTTGGATGTTAAAGTCATGTAGGCATTTCAGCAAACTTAAGACATAAAGAGGGATTTAAAGAGGGCTTAGCTGCTGGTGTTGCTGATCTTGGCAGGTTTCCCACCTGTTAGAGGTGGTATGGCAGAAGGAGATTTGCCTTGTTCAGTCTCTTTTGTATCTGTGAGTTAGGGCAAGATTGAACTGCAGAAACCTCACCTCTGGTAGTTCGTGATATGGGCCTAATCTATTTAGCTCTTTTGCTGCCAGAATAGTTTTAGTGAAGGATTGTTAATGATTAATTTTGGGGGGGTTGTCTTAAATTCGGAGCCTTCTTGGATTGTGGTAAATGTGAGCCAGTACAAAAGTATAATTTTATGGACCCAAGCTATGTCAGTACAAAGATGACTTACATCAGGGTAGTTTATTCCCCTTCATGCAGAGGAATAACCAACTTGTGCTGCTGTACTCACAAATGTCACATCTGTGGAGGAGTAGAGGGTATATTGCTCTAATTGTATCAGAATAGCTCAAGTGGCACAACTGTGGGCGTAGCCAGGGCTTTGGGTTAGGATTTGTGCTGGTGAATAAATATTGTTTAGCTCCTTTCCAAAGCCCTTTAATAATGCTGCATTTGATTTATAGGTTATTTCAGAAGACAGAACTCCAGTCATGTTCTCTGGTGTGATTGATGAGCTAGTAAATTTCCGTATCAAGGTGCGCAATTATGCTCGTGCAATGCCTGAAGCAACAGAGGTAGAAAGTACCGTGCAATCCCAGGAAGCCAAACTGGAAGAGAAAGAAAAGAGACGGTTGTTATTGCTGGAGAGGGAGCCCCTTCTGCAGGCTTGTGACAACCTGCGTCGGGACCTTGCTGCATTTGGAATCAACATAAAGGTACAGGACACAATATTGTCTTTGCAAGACCTTTCAGTAGTTCTATTAAGCCAACATTTGTTTCCCCCTTTTACATGTCCTTTGTCAGCAGCTTTCAGTCCTGTGCCCTGCACTTTGCACTGCTGGGATAGTCACAGGTAGAAATTAAGCTGTTGGGAGATGGAAAGGCTAGCCTTTTGTTCCCTCCTCCCCCACACATTTCCATTCAGCCTATTGCTGCTTTTGCAATTAGAGAGGATTTTCGATGGCCAAATCACATTTCTTGTCCTGGTCTGAAATCCTCCAAGTAGTCTTTCCTTGGATTAAACTGGATTTTAGGAGTGGTATTTGTTTCAGTATATTGGAGTGGAATTGAAAGGCAGAGGGGACCTGGTTCTGCACTGACCTTTAGTGCTCTTCATTAACTCCAGGTTTGGAGAGAAAAGAGAATTTTTTCAGAAGTTAAGTCTTTCCTAAGCTCTGTGAAAAGTCCTCTCGCTTCTTTAATAGCTCTATTCCTTCCACACTAGCCTAACTGTGTCTAATCCTTAATCACTTGATTTCTCTAGCTGCCCTCTCTCCTTTCCAGCCCTCTCTGCCTCCAGCCTATCCCTAATGCCACTGTTAATTTTCCTTTTCCATTAGCGAAGCCATGGCTTCCCCCCTTGTGAAAAATCCCTTCATTGGCTTACTGTCTCCGCGTGCTTTGAAGACCCCTATGTGAGCTCACTTTAGCTAATGCTATTACTCTCAATTCCTCTTGCTTTACTGCCCTTTTCACCTTTTGCTTCAGCCTCTGTTATTTTATGTATCGCTCCCAGTACAGGGAATTGCTAGTTGCTTCCTACTGAGCACCTCTTTCCCCTCTAAAGCACTCTTTTCTTTGTTGTCTTCCTACCCTGTGACCCAAGGCTCATACTTTTATCTTGCATCACTTTATAAGCAGGAGGATACAAATATCAGTTCCAATTTGGAATGGCAACTTACAGCTCTTAAGTGACAAAAACAGTTGTTTCCCACTCACTAGTTCTGAAACAACATACTGAGATGTTTGTTTGTAAATCATTAGATCCTGGTTCGGTGTAAAAGTGATTTGTGTGGACCCCATTATAGTCTCAAGGCTGTGCACACTATTGTGTGATGCTTACGAAAGGACTACCATTCCAGAAAGCTAGAATCTTATCTGCTGTTTTTATCTTTTCAGAGTTGTCTTTAAAAAGAGAGGCAAGTGTGCCCAGGATTTATATTCCTAATTTAAGCATCCTAAACAGGTATTAAGTAGAATTATTTAGATTTCTATAATATGCATATAGAGTACAATGCAAAACTGTACATCAAAATATGATGATAACAGTAAGAGAAACTGCTTTCTCTCTCTCTCTTTGTACTCTATTTTGGTATCTCCTCCTGTTTGCAGGATGTGAATTTAGCTTTATGGCTATTTTTTGCCCTGTTACAAAATCTGGCCTCAGCCAGGATCCATCCCACTGTTTTGCAGTTCAAGCATTTAAAGTTTTGACATTCAGTATAATCCCTTGTGGCTAGAAACAGATGTTGCTGAATGAAGCTGATCAGCTGTACCATGATACGTCATGGCACAGCTGATCTAATTCATTGGGTAAAAAACATATTGCCCATTCTCCTGCTTTTGATGGCACTGGACAAGGGATAATGGGATCTCACCACTTTCCCTGCTCAGCCAGACCACTCCCCAGGAATTGCCAGGGAGATGGGTCTGACTGAGCAGGGAAAAGCACTTCCCTGCTCAGCCAAACCTACTCCTCTACGATTGCAGAGGAATGGGTCTGGCTGGGCAGGTCACCATGACTTCCCCGCTTGTGGAGCAGCACCCAAGATTTCCTGGGGATCCTTCCTGTAAGCGGGGAAAGCAGGCAGGTGCTCTGGGAGCTTGAGGGCCCCTCAGCACCTGTCTGGGGTGGCAGGCATGCAAGCTGTTGTACTCTTCTGCCACAAAGGTATTAGATGTCCACTGCAATAAAGCAGCAGTGTCTGTTACCACCTTTTGTTACACCCCTGTTTTTTTTCCTGTGGCACACAAAGGGTATCAACATCTATTTGCTCAGCATTTGTGCTGCCTTAAACATTTTTATGGCAGCACAAATGAGAAGTCGGGCGATTTGTCCGTTCCCACCCTGTATGTCCCACCTTGTTTCTCTTATGGCTTATCTCAAAGGGATGCAGGTGCCAAGACCAAAATACAGATCTGCAAAATGCTCTGATGGTAGCTGCTGTACCCCTGGAGGTGCTGAAGTCTGCCTCCAGGCATGCTGACAGTGGCTTCCATGGTAGCAGTTTTGAGCACCTGGGATCTTTTGGAACAACAAACTAGGCAGGCTCTCCTCTGCTTAGCTCCCCTCCAGATCCCAATCCAGTGGGCTACAGAATCCACAAAACATGTCCCGAAAAAATGCTGTGATCCAGATCCTGCTTATGGGCTGCACAGTTGCTACTTCCTGTGCCCTCTCTTTCTGACTCATGCAAGACACTTTGCATCCCTGTCTGCACAGGGAACCAGCTTCAGTAGTTGAGAAGCTAGTAGTTGTCGAGGTGGAGATTCACCTAACTTAGCTTAATGTATAGCCTAGTGGGGAGGGTTCTGTTCTATAAAGGGGAGGATGGGGTTTTGGGCATCAAATCTGGATTGCCAACTTCCTGAGTGAGTGCTGTAGCCACTGGCACAACCACCTGCTCCTCCAGGACTGTGTTCTATAGCATGAGCCCAGCTTGCTTCTCCTGAAAAAACAGTTGTGGGTGCCTACCCTCAGGAAAGGGCCGTGAGCCTCAAGCGGGTGGAGGCACATAAGCTTGGAAAGGAGGGGCAGGATTTCAAACACATATTTCCCTCTGCTTTGTTTCCTGTGTGTGCCCAAAGTGTGTATGGAGGGGGGTCTCTTACCTTTTTGAGGGACCTTACTCCTTATGTCTTGCATGAAGAAATTCCAAGTCTTAGATCACTTTGGGGGGTGGGGGCAGGCACACCCCCCCGTGTTAAATCTGGCCCTCAGTGTTAGCCTGAACCCCATTTACTTATCAGAACCTTTGAATCTACCCAACACAAAACTGACCCTGGCACGTTTTGTGTTAAGTTGATCTGCATGTGTTCTAAACAACTCCATGTGACCATTTAAATTTCTTATTAACCATCTTAAGCTCAGCTGTTTTCTCCTGTGCCTTATTCTGTATGAAGATTGTGTTGCTTTTGTCCAACTGTCGTAGAAACGGCAGAAGCTCATCTGTAGAAAAGGTACAAGTGGCCACATGAACCTTGTTTGTACCAGTTCTCTTACTGACATACACAAGGGGGACAGTCTGGAGCTTTTCTGCCAAGATATACATACATCCAGTGTTAGTGAAGTGAGGCCTCTCTTTCTTGCTCTTTAAAACTAAGTGTGAGAACTCATAACCAGGGGTGCAGGTTGTAGCTGTGTTGGTCTAAGGACATGGGTAGACGAGGTTCTTTGAGTAAATCGGGTATCTTTTATTAGATCAACCAACTGTTGCTTAGATTTGGAGGCTTCTGGCTGCCCTGTAGTGCACAGAACTTCTTCTTTCTTTGAGCCTGACTTTAAACAAGCTTTCAGAGAAGTCTATTTTCTTATGCTCTTAACAGTTTTCACTTTCACTATAACATCTGAGTATTTAAAAATGGTAAGTTCCAATTCAGGCATCCAGTCGCCCTCCTACTGTGCAGTCTAAGAAGATTAGGTTTAAGTTGCATAACTTTAAACAAACAAATCTTAGAAATATATTTTAGAACTGTATATTAAATATAATATTTGGTCTTCTGCAAACTCAGTGGATTACTTTTGTTTTGAGTAAAATATTCTTTGCTGTCAACAGTATTCTATTATTCTGCGGCAGTTTCACTTGTTCAGGTATCAAACTCAGGCCTGCACTTCTCCTTAAATGGTTCATGACCAGCAATCAGATTCCCTAGATTTGAGAACTCATTAGCTGAAATTGCCAGTCTTCGAGTGCATTTTCCCCAACCACAGTACAACGGCTAGGTTATAAGAGGAAGAAATTTTTAGTTGGACTTTTGTAATGCCTCAGCAATAAGGAAATACTGTCATAGAAATACAGCCTTACTAAGCCATCATCCTTCTAAAGTTTTTAAAAAGAAAAATTTATGTGCAATTTCTTAATGATCAGGAAGGAGATAATTTTCAAAGTTTTAAACATGAAAACTTGATGACCTTTCTGTTAAGCCAAGGCCATCAAGTGTAACATTATGTTGAAAGAAGGCATTGCAGCCTCCTGCATTCAATCCACCTGTGCTTGAAACTGGGTTTAACAAAACTTTAGAACTGAAGTGGCAATAATTGCTTCAACTAAGTACCAGAATAAACTGAGCAAATCGGTGCACCCCTTCCTCCAAACCCCTCCCCATAATTCAAGAGACTGAATAATCAATCAAGCACCACATTCTTTCAAATGTAAGTCACTTTTTAAAAAGAAATACTCTGAAAAATGGCCCAAGTCTTGTTTGTTTGTTTGTTTGTTTTAAACACTCAAAGTCAAAAGCTCTTGTAGTCCACCATAGAGCTTATATCCTTGTAAGCGTGTCTTTACTTGAGGGTATATTATTTTCTTACAGTCAGAAAACGTAGGTGCGTCTTAAATTCAAAGTTATCATAAACTTGAAGAATACAGTAATAGTTATATAAAATTTTGTCACCCCTTTTCTTTAACATCAATAACCTTACTTTTGGGAGAAGAGATTTTTTTTTAACCGAGCTTCAAAGAACTCTCTTTTCTGAAATGTTGTAACTAACATTTTGGTTGAGTTTCATGTCTTCAGACTGCTTCTAACACGTTATAAGGATCAGAATAAAATGTAGGCCAGTGCAAAGTACCATGTGTAATTAAATGGTGTGTTTGACCTACTTATTCTTACAGGATAGGGGGGCTACTTCTACGTGGGAAGCTGTGGATCAAAGAAGAGAACAGCAAAGAACTGAAAGAGAGAGATGATTTAGCACAGGACGTGCTTGGACTGATTGTATGACATTGGTCACTTTAGGAACAGATGTAAATATTATTCCCAAATAAAAACTTCAGAAAGGAACTGCAAACTACAAGAGTTGCTGTAATTAATATTGTGGTAACCTGAAGCAATACCAGTCTTGCTACAATTCTCATTATTAAAATGGCATTGTTTTATTTTCTTTTTTCCTGCAGTGACATAATGAGCTAAATTGATAGTATTATTTGAACAAAACCAACCCATGTTACTAAATAATGCAGCAATTACTGTGAAAACGGGAACTTAAACCCAAGTATCTGGTCTGAACCATCTTCAGCATGTGTTAAATGGGTATGGGTTTTGTGACCTCCACACATTTTGGATGGCTGCTGCTGACTGCACAGCCGTTCCATTAGAACCAGACCAATAGTTTTTGATAAAACTATCAAGAGTGACTGGAAGGCACATGTATAGCTCAAGGTAACTTCTTGCTGAGAGATGCTGTGCCATACAGAGGTATGCACAAAGCAAAAGCAGTACAGTTATGATGCCACTGGGGTGCTGCATGCATGCCAACAACTACTGCCTGGTACAGCAAGCCTACTTCTGGCTTAGGTATATGCAGGGCTAGTGTGTCAAAACCAGACACCATCTTGCATGCTGTAGACATGCTGTTACCCTCCTGTTTGAACGAGGAGTTGAAATTAGTCCTATATCTTTTCCCTTAAAGGCCACCTAGTCTCAAATGGCTTTTCAGATTGATGGCAGAGATATGTGACGCTTGCTCCTGTAAAAAGGAAACCCCTTTTGTTTTTGAATGAGCAGCATTTGACACCTAGACTCAGTGGAAAAAGCATTTGAAAACAAACTCAGTTGTAGCTGGCACTGAGAGCAGCCAGCTTTTGGAACAGTGTTGTCTTTTAAGACTGCATAAAAACTATGATCCCAATAGCAAGGAAATTTAGAAACCAAGAGCTGTTGAATTTCAGAGAAAATACTTGGTTTAAAAACACTGAGCATTCAAGTAGGTTAGAAATTGCTTTATACCTTGCTACTTGAGTATTAGATTTATGTAGAATCTCAGTCAACAGGACTGTACATAGGCTTTGCCTTCCCCAACAGGTGGGGCTAGGGGAAAAAAACAGGTTAAGAATGCCAAAGGGGTTTTTTGTGCTTGCAGAACCTGGTTATGTAGGAGTGATCTTTCACCTCTCCCAATAGGATTCATCATTGGATGGAACATTTTAGCAAAATTGCCTGCTCTGGGGGATCCAAATTATGGCATACTCCATTTAGATGCGCAGCTGCTAGACTGAAACAAAAGCCCATGGGGGTTTTTACTAGGGGTGTGCAAAGTGGGTCGTTATTCAATTTGGATTTGGCTTGATTCGGGGGATGGTGATTAGATTTGTTGATTGGGATCGCTGTCCTGATTCCCCCCCCCGATTCGGCTGAATCTGAATCTGAAGATTTGATTCCGATTCAGAGAATCAGCAATTCAGCCATAGATTCATAGATACTAGGGTCGGAAGGGACAGAGTGCTTGGGTCAGATGACCCCAGCCAGACTCCTGTCCAGCCTTCTCTTAAAGGCCCACCAAGGTAAGGGAGAGCACCACCTCCCTTGGAAGCCCATTCCAAGATTTGGCCACCCTCACTGTGAAGACGTTTTTCCTGATGTCTAGCCTAAATCTGCTCTCTGTCAGTTTGATCATTGCTTCTTTTTACCCGAAGAAGCACCCTGGGGGAGGGGTCCTCTGTGGCAGACCTGGAAGTGGACCTAAAGTGCTTCTGGTCTACTTCTGGGTCTGCCACCAAGCAGGCTGGGGGACTCCCTTGTGCTCCCGTGGGATGCTCTATCTGCCCTACCATCTCAGTGTTCGTGAGCTGCCTGATACCTTTGCAGTATGTAGAAAAAACATATAAAGCTGTGTCTATGTCCAAATCATAGAATTTCTCCTGATTCGATTAGGATTCGGAAATTTGGCCGCCAAATCGAATCGGTGACCAAAGCATCACACAGGCCTAATTTTTACACATGCTATGGTGGTGTGGGGCACTTTAGAGAAGCGTTTGCACGGTCTTGTGTATCAGTGACCCTGCACTTCGAACGAGTGGCAGGGGCTCTTTAACTAAAGCTAGTCAAACAAGCTTTAGTTAAATCACCCCTGCTGTCATTTTGAAGCATGGGGATGCTGATACATGAGAGGCAGAGGCTGGCTGGATCGTGCTTATTACCATGCACCAGCACACTTGATTAATCAAGTCTGCTCCAATGCACTAAGTGTGTTGGAACAGCCTTTCCACACCTGTACAGGCACCCCATGTGCTTAACCAAACTTAGTGCAACAGTGCTGCATAAGTACAAGCTGTCGGCATCCCCCAAGTTGAGTGGTTCCTCCCATTTTCAAGGCTTCTAGTAGTTTCAGAGCTGTTCTTAGAAGCCTTGAAAATAGAGAAGCAAGTCCATATTGCAGCTGCCAAATACCTCTGCACTGACAGCCCTGTGTACTTAAGGTGCATTAACCACACAGCAGGGTAGGTCAGTGCTGAAACTAATTTTCTGCCTTCATTTTCAAGGCTTCTAATAGCTGCTCTTTGACACTTGCTTCCCCCATCACTCCAGAAAGTGCTACAGCAGAGTCAGTGAGTACAAAGACAGTTATTGTTACTGTGCAGTTAACGACTGGACAACTGAAGTTACAAAATGGATGGGTCTGAAAGATGCTATGCCCACTGGTGCTCACCCTTTCTGGCCTTGGGGGATGGATGAGTGGGGGTGGGACTGGATCCTGCAAAAAGGGTCAGGCCATAGGCCTGAGCCACTGCAGAGTTAATGTCTGCAGGTGCTATTTGGCATGCTGGCCCTGACCCACATGTCAGATCCAGTATGAAACAGTTGTGCTTGCCAAGCTCTGCAGGCTGGATACGAACAGAGAGCAACACCATCTGTTGATGCAAGCCAGTGCATAGGGCCACATTATCTAGCCCCCAGGGCTCCCCATAGGTCTGGAAATCTGACAGCAGGGGAGCTATGGCAATTAATGTCACTGCTCCCCCTGCTGTCAAATTTTTGGACCAGCTGGCAATTCCTTGGGCCCTAGGTCAAGTACCAATGATTTAGAGATTAGTGCATTCAATCAACAGGTAGATAGCTGAAATCTGTTACAATGTAAACAATAGGCAACAAACTGGGGCTGGTATTTTGTTATAGAATCAGAGAAAATTAGGATTGGAAGGGACTTCAGGTCACTTAATCCAATCCCTTGCTCAAGTAGAACTGTCTCCAACTAGAACTCAGCCGAAGCTTTGTCTAGCTGGGTCTTGAAAACCTCTAAGGCTGGAGCTTCCACCACCGCTCTGGGTAACCTGTTCCACTACTTTGCTACCCTCCTAGTGAAAATTCTTCCTAATATCTAACCTAAACTTCCTTTGCTAGAATTTGAGACCATTGCTCCTTGTTCTGTCACCTGCCACCACTGAGAACAGTCTCCTTTTTCAAACCCCCCTTCAGGTAGTTGAAGGCTAATACTAAATCCCCTCTGATTCTTCTCTTTTCTAGACTAAATAAGCCCAGTTTCCTCAGTCTCTCCTCATAAGTCATGTCCCCCAGCCCCCTCACCTGTTTTGTTGCCCTCTGCTGGACTCTCCAATTTGTCCACATCTTTTTTGTAGTGGGGGGCCCAAAACAACACAGCACTCCAGATGTGGCCTCACCAGTGCCAAATAGAGGGGAATAATCACTTCCCTTGACTTACTGGCAACACCCGTACAGCCCAGTATGCCGTTAGCCTTCTTGGCAACAACGACACACTGCTGGCGCATATTCAGCTTATTGTCTATCATAACCCCCAAGTCCTTTTCTGCAGAGCTGCTGCCCAAGCCAGTCGGCCCCCAGCCTGCACTGGTGCATGGGATTGTTCCATCCTAAGTGCAGGACTTTGCACTTGTCCTTGTTGAACCTCATGAGATTCCTTTTGGCCCAATCCTCCAATTCATCTAGGTCACTCTGAATCCCAACCCTACCCTCTAGCGTATCTACTAGTACCCACAGCTTGGTGTCATCCGCAAACTGAGGGTGCACTCGTTGTCATCTTCCAGGTCATTGATGAAGACATTGAATAAAACTAGGCCCAGGACTGACCCCCTGGGGCACTCCACTTGACACCAGTTGCCAACTAGACATGGATCCATTGATTACTACTGAGCCCAATGCTTCAGCCAGTTTTCTATCCACATTACAGTCCATTCATCCAGCCCATACTACTATGCTTGCCTGTGAGAATGTTGCGGGGACTGTATCAAAAACCTTGCTAAAATCAAGGTACACCACATCCATCAGTCTCCCTACATCCACAGAGCCAGTCACCACATCATAGAAGGCAATCAGATTGGTCAGGCATAACTTGCCCCTGGTGAATTCATGCTGACTGTTCCTAATAACCTTTTTCTCCTCCAAGTGCTTAGAAACAGATTTCTTGAGGGATTTGTTCCATAATTTTTCCAGGGACTGAGGTGAGGCTCACTGGTTTGTAGTTCCCTAGATCCTCCTTTTTCCCTTTCTTAAATATGGACACTATGTTTGCCCTTTTCCAATCATCAGGGACCTCTCCTGATCACTATGAGTTTTCAAAGATGATGCTCAGTGGCTCTGCAATTGCATCAGCCAAATCCCTCAGCACCCTTGGGTGCATCTCATCCGGCCCCATGGATTTGTACGCATCCAGCTTTTCTAAATAGTCCCTAACCTGTTCTTTCACCACAGGGCTGTTCACCTCCTCCCCAGGCTCTGCTGCCTGGTGCAGTAGTCTGGGAGCTGACCTTGCCTGTAAAGATTGAGACAAAAAAAGGCATTGAACACTTCACAGCCTTTTCCACATCCTGTCACAAGGTTGCCTCCCCCATTCAGTAAGGGACTCGCACTTTCCCTGATCCTCCTCTTGTTACTGACATACCTGTAGAAACCCTTCGTTAACCTTTGCATCCCTTGCTAGCTGCAACTCCAATTGTGTTTTAGCATTTCTGACTTTATCCCTGCATGCCCGAGCAATGCTCTTATAGTCTTTCCTAGTTATTTGTCCATGTTTCCACTTCTATTAAGATTCATTTTTGTGATTTAGTTACTGAACAGTTCCCTGCTAAGCCAAGCTGGTCTTCTGCCATACTTGCTAGTTTTCCTGCACAT